GGGGAGGTTGCCGTCGTGTCGTACGCAGCGCCTGTACTCCGGGGCACTCACTCCCGGTAGCTCAGAGAGCCGGTTGCGCCGTCGCCTGTGGGTCCGTTGCTCCTGCTGCTCGTCTTAGCCGCGGAGCCTGTTACTCCTGTACTCCGGGGCACTCACTCCCGGTAGCCACTGTGTCGCACCAGAGCCGTCTGTTGCCCGTGTGACTGCAGCTTCAGTCGTCGCCTCCCATCTACTCTCCTCTCGCCAGCCCTCCTCCTCCTCACTTCCCCGTTGTGACTACCACTAGCTTTGCTCATAATTGTGAACTTTAAACTATTGCTTCTTAAACTTGTGCTCAGAATGTGTGGTGACATTGTGATCCACCCTGAGCTTGTACTGCTTTGCTTGCTCTGCTGATTACACCCCACTTTGGCTATGGGGGTGTGTCAGAATATTATGCTCTAGCCTGTAGTGGGGTGCTCTGTAGCGAGTACAACCCTTCTAGGGTTTGCTATTTGTATCCCCATTCTTGCTAGTGCAACCCCTCTCTTTCGCCTAAACTCTCTTGCCTAGCTATGACTCTCCTAGCTATGGCTCCTAAGACTACCGCTTATCTCAACAATGACCATTGAGATGAACATGTCATCGGGAACGGAGCCGCCGCACTTTTTGACTTGATCGCGGAGATTGCGGCACCGATTGACATATGGTCCCGCTTTCTCCCCTTGCTTCATTTTGACTGAAGTCAGTTGACTGAGCAGGCGACTCATTGTAACTGGATCTGTTGCCATGTATGAGTTGCGCAGGTGTTCCCAGGATGCGTGCGCGGGAGCCCACTCCGTCTTGTACGGTCGAATGCCGAGCTGCTCTTCAGGTGAGAGGTTGCGAAGGAGAGTGGTGTACGCGAGAATAGACTCGTGGTACCGTCAGCCCCCGGATAGAAGCGCCCCTGGGGTTGTAATAAAACACTGTTTTTTAGGGGGTGCGCTTATAATTGAGGATTTTTATAAGCGCCGGCGCCTATAAAATGGCAAATGTGAAATATGTTTTTTTTACATGTAACTGAAGCTGTTTCAAAAAGGGATTCTATCAACAACCAGAATGTTCGTACCCGTGCATGAAAAACGCGTCAAATGGCCAACAAGGCGTGGCATCACTGCCGCCACGCCTTGTTGGCCTGGCCAGATTCATCGTACCGTACATGAATCTCGCGCATGCCAGCGCACACGCTGTGTAGTGTGGGACTGCCCAATCAGGGTCGATGGCCGTGCCAACCACGACGCAGAACAACCACGAACCGGGCATATGCGGCAAGATTCCTTGCCAACAACGCCCACACCTCACCACATCAGCTCCTCTGCGGGGAGATCTTGACAGTGTAGTCCCTCTCCCTGCAGAGGAACTCGGGCCGCGAAGTTGGAGGGGTCTCGGGCGAGGGCTTGATACAGGCTTCATTCTCACCGTTTTTTCCAGGTTTCTTGTTTCTCTCGGCCTGCCTCTGCCATGGCAGGCCTTCCCGGCACCCATTTTCTCTTTAACCGCCAAGGTCATGCTGCCAAGACTCCCGATTACACTCAATGGCAGAGTCGCCCAGCTCCCATACCTCCTGCTCCTCCTGCGCCTCCTGCTCCTCCTGCGCCTCCTGCTCCTCCAGCGCCTCCTGCTCCTCCCGCTCCTCCTAACGTCGTCATCAACGGTGTGCCCGTTCTGCAGCTTCTCCCTCGCGGCTACTCTGCTTTCGACGCGTACGTCTCCGAGCCCGAGCCCGAGCCCGAGCCCGAGCGCAGCGACGAAGATGAAACCGGTCCCGGTCTTTCGCCACGCTGGGGAGACCCGGAAGACTGCCCGCACGACGAATCTGCCACCGGTGCCGAAGACGACGTTGAGTGGTGGGCGGCCGACGGTCTTCCCGAGGACTTGCCTGTCCCAAGTTTTCCCCCGCCCAATAAAAAAAGGCCCCACCCCTCCACCCAGAATCGTGATGCTCGCCCCCCGTCTCCCAGGAGCAGGCGCTCAAGGCACAAGCGCCACTCCTATACTTCTCAGGAGAAGCTGCACTGGATTTCACAGTTGGAGTCCGGTGCTGTGAGTGTGCGGAAGATGGCGCGCGACACTGGTATCTCCCGAAAGTCCCTGGCAGAGTGGAAATCGCGGAAGGATGAGCTGGAGGGCGCGCATGGGGCTCGCAAGCGTCTTCACGGGCGTGGTCGGTCGTCGTGGTACCGCGACATGGAGATCCAGGTGTACTCACGAGTACTTGCCGCCCGAAAAAAGTGCCTCGCAGTGTCGGTCGGCCGCCTGCAGCAGTGGTCGCGAGAGGTGATGAAGAGCCTGCATCCTGAGGTAAAGTGGGCGGGATCTCAGAGGTGGACCGAGCGTTTTAGGCGTCGCTGGAATCTCACTACCCGATCGAAGACCCGTGTCGGCCAGAAACTTTCCTCCGGTGAGTCTGTTGTTGTCGTCGCTCTTGTTTATCCCTGTTGCTCTTCCCGTTCGATGTGCTAATGTATTTTATTGTTTCTGCCTCCCCGTCCCTTCCAGAGTGCGAGACGCAGGTGCGGAACTTCTGGAAGTTCGTGCGACACACCCGCCGACAGTACGGCATTGACAACCGCTGGATCATTAATGCGGATCAGACCCCGCTCTGGCTCGAAATGCCAGCTGAACGCACGGTCGAGGAGGTGGGGGTCCGCTCCGTGCCCATCCGCAGCGGCGGCTATCAAAAGGAACGCGTGACGGTGATGCTCGCCTGCACCGCCAACGGCGAGAAGCTCAAGCCTTGGGTGTTTTTTAAGCGCAAGACAGTTCCAAAGGGGAATTTCCCCTCCGGTAAGCCGAGCAGCTTGTGCAGTCCCGGTAGGATTTGCAAGTGTTGTTTTTTTTTGCAACTGACGCCATTCTCAATGTTGTGCGGATGTGCAGATGTCGTGGTCGCCGCACATCCCAACGGGTGGATGGACGCGGACGGCGTCCTCGCGTGGCTCGACGCTACAGTGGGCCCGTACGTCAACCCGAGGTTCGGAGTGCGCAGCAGGAGGGCGATGCTGGTGCTTGACTCCTACCGCGGGCACCTGACTGATCAAGTGAGGGCGAAATTCGGGGAGCTGCGTATCGTGCCGGCCATCATACCAGCTGGCTGCACATCGGAGGTGCAGCCCCTAGACGTCGCGGTGAACCGCTCCTTCAAAGCAGCTGTGCGACAGCAGTACCAGGCATGGTTCGAAAGCGAGGGCGTTGACTGCCTGACTGAAAGAGGTGAGATTTAATTTCTAGGCCTGAGTGTTTTTAAAATATTGACCCTGTTCTAACTGATGGATCTTTCTACGTGTGGCAGGCAACATCCGCAAGCCACCACCAGAGCTGACGCTCAAGTGGATCTCCAAGGCCTGGAAGTCGGTGCCCAAGGAGTTGATCGAGCGCTCGTTTCTCACCTGCGGCATCAGTAACGCGTTGGACGGGTCTCAGGACAGTCTCTGCCTGCAGCACCGGCGGGACGCCGTCAAGGGCGAAGTGGAACTTGACGACGAGATTGCAGCAGATGGATTCTGCTGCAACAACGTAGACGAGCCAGAGTCGGATGGCGAGACCACCCAGGAAGGCACCGCCACTGCTGAGGAGGATGTCTAGGTTGTGTAGGTAGAGTAGATATTTAGCATGATTTTGAAATGTGGTAGAATATGCAGAAAATGCGAAACTTGGTAGCATATCTTGAAAAATTGTAGAATAGCATAAGGATAGCAATTAGAATTACTTAAAATTATAATTGCAACTTCTAAAAAGGTGGCGCTTATAATGTGTACTGCATTAGGGGTGCGCTTATAATCCGTAAGGCTCCAAGGGTGCGCTTATAATCGAGGAGCGGATATAAGCGCCCTCATCCTTTTATAAGCGCCGGCGCTTATCCGAGGCCTGCGCTTCTATCCGGGGGCTTACGGTAGTATTGATGCTTCTCCTGGATGGTGCCTTCCGAGGGAAAAGGCAGACTTCCGTCGTAGTACATCCAGATCTGAGCGGTTGTCGCGAGAAGCTCGAATTCGAAACTCCACGTGTAGAAATCCTTTCCGTCGAAAGGGATTGAGGTCTTCAATTTTGAGGTTAATACAAATTTGGTTTGCATTGAAGCGATGTCTGACTGCGACCGCTGTGGGTTGTCTTGTGCAGGAGCTGACCCTTGACGATTGTCAAAGGTGAAGGATCTCTCGGAGTTGACGCGGCGGTCTTCTCCAGGGAGAGGAAGTCCAGCAACGCCACGTGCATAGCTTGAGCCATCAATGCTCATAGCCTGATGGCTTTCAAGAGCGTTGATGCGCGCGACTAGCTGCTCAACGACAGCGGCGCTGACGGAGGTCACCGCTGATGGCGCGTTAGTAGTTGCTGGTGGTGGGCCCGGTGAGTCTGCAGTAGCTTTCCCTTCAGGAGCCATAGTGTTGCAGACTTTAGGATATAATGAATGATTTTATAAAGAGGTTGTTCTAGGAAGAACGAGGGCTTTGACAGATCCTATAATCCACTCTAGCTCTCATACCATGCTGATATAACCAAAGGATCAGTGGATAGGATAGGATGTGTTAAGCCTAAGAGGAGACAGTGAAGTCTCTGAGATGACCTTGTTGAATAATAATTGAAAGAGAACAAGATGATTGAGAGATAGAAGTACAAGGAATTAAATAGCAACTAACTAGCCATGTACTCTGAGGGGTACATTCCCTTATTAACTGTATTACATAGCTACAGCAACCGCGACTATTACTATCCTTGACAGTTACCGTGTTGCAGTCAGTTAACTGTCGCGCGGTTACCGGATCGTCAAGGGTCACGACCGTTGACTTCCTCAAACGGTTGACCTTCGGGTGACCCTCGACATTCCGCGTGCTCTATATGAGCTCATGCGGTACTGGTACAGTGGTACAGCTTCGGGAATGCCTTTATAACCTTTCGGTTATTCCAACAGGCGAGGTCGACCTTGGTATGAGGACTCAACACGTAAAAACAGTTGACATAGCTGGAAACAAAAAAGCATCTCAAATTCTATGAGTAATTTTCCTTTGCCAGAGAAAGAGCCTCACGTCATGCCATTTTCGAATGTTACTCAGCTCCCAGCGTAGCTGCGCCCTGCAGACCATAGCAGAGAGAGAGAGAAGGGAAAAAAAAGGTGAGGCTTTTTGGAGTGCACAATCCCCAGGGTATTCAAAGGGTGCAATGCAATGTACACACCTTTTCTCGTCTGGCCATAAGTCATGTGCAATGAAGGACACAAGTGCTGCTATACCGACAGCCTCCATCCCATCAGTCCCTGCCAGTAAGAAGGATTTTTGACAATATAGTTGTGTTCATGCATGCATAAAGGTGTATATGAAGAGGGAGAGGGTGAGAAGACGGGAGATGGAAAGGGGTGGGAGAGGGTGGAAAGTATAGGGTGGGATTTGACATCAGCAGTGAAGACCTAAAAGCTGGAGTAAACGAGGACTCTTAGTGTACCCACGTCTATCAAGCCCAATCTCATTATGACAACAGTGCGCGTAACGAGTTTCTAGAAAACACACACGATAAGGGCAAGAGGTAAACGCCACGCCAATCATAAAAAGATATCCGTCCCTTGGCAAAAAAATGACTCACATCCAGAAGACATGGCGACCATTCCGCCAAAAGCCATGGCCACGAGGGGGGGAGCTGCACCGAGCACTGACAACAGATGCTTCTTCTCCTTCTCCGCCTGCTGCTGCTCCAGGGACCGGGGTGACAAGGGACAGGGCCGTTTTGAGACGTCTCAAGATTGAGAAACAGGGTGACATGAGACAGAGTGCAGTGCAGTGCATGGCGTTTTGAGACGTTTCAAAATTAGAGTGCAGAGGATGGGGCTAACATGGTTGACTACAAAGTTTGGGGAGGAGGACATAAAAATGGGAAGGAGAGCGTGGGAGAACAGAGGGCGGGGAAGGAGACAGGGGTGGAGAGGAGGAGGAGGAGGAGGAGGAGGAGGAGGAGGAGGAGGAGGAGGAGGAGGAGGAGGAGGAGGAGGAGGAGGAGGAGGAGGAGGAGGAGGAGGAGGAGGAGGAGGAGGAGGAGGAGGAGGAGGAGGAGGAGGAGACGTAAGTGGGAGGAGGGAGAGGAAGGACAGTCGGGGCTGGGTGGGGGGGAAGTCTAGTTTTGAGGCGCCTCTAAAGGACAGAAGGGGCTGGGTGGGGGAAAGTTCATCTCTCCACTTACAGCAACACACTTACAGCTACCGTCTCCCTTGACTCTTCTCCTGCTCCTGTGCCATCACCACTGCTGCTTCTGTCTTTTGCAGATGATTCCGCTTCAGCATGATTGCCGCTGCTGCTGTCACCACTCCTCACAGTGCTGCTGCCTCTACCACCACCACCACTGCCCCTGCCGCTGCTGCCGCCCGTGCCAACTGTCTTCGGTGCTGCAACGAGGTATGCGATTGCTGGGTACTTCACTTGCTCGTTACCCGTGGTCGTGCTCCTTCTCTCTGACAGACGAGAGTTCAGGCCAGAACCACCAATGCTCTTGTTGTGAGCTCTGCTGCTGCTGCTGTTGCTGCTGTTGCTGTTTTTGCTGCTTTTGCTGCTGCCACCTCTGCTGCTTTTCGTACCACTGCTGCTTCTGCTGCTGCTGCTAATGCCCCAGCTGCTGATGCTGTCGCTGCCGCTCCCACTGCTGCTTCCGCGGCTGGTCGGGGAGGATTTCGCTGCAGCACGCATGGCCTGGACAGCAGAGCTTACGAACGTCCTTCCATCCACTCTCACATCCTTGCGCAGCAACCTCCTGCTCTCGCTCCTCTCACTCCTCTCCCTACTCCTCTCCCTACTTCTCTCCCTGCTCCTTTCCCTACTCCTCTCCCAACTCCTTTCCCTGCTCCTCTCTCTACTCTCCCTCTCCCTACTCCTCTCCCTAATCATCTCCCCCCTCCTCTCCTCACTCCTCTGCTCACTTTGCTCCTCATCAGCCCTCCCCACGTGCCTCTCGTCCGTGGGCCATAGAGGCACTGTCACTGCAGCATCTACTGAACGTGCTCCAGCTATCGTCTTAGATATCCCGCTAGCTGCGGACCTTAATCCTGTGGCTGCCGGTGCCTCTGTTACAGCTGGAGTTGCTACAGCCGGAGTTGTTTCGGCAGGCGTTTCTACAGCAGGTGTTTCTACAGCAGGTGTTTCTACAGCCGGTGTTGCTACAGCCGGAGCTGCTACAGCAAGAGTTGTCACAGCAGGAATTGTCACCAGTGGTGTTGTCACAGCAGGATTTGCCACAGCAGGATTTGCCACAGCCTGATTTTCTGCAGCCGGAGTGTCTACAGCAGATGCTTCTACAGCAGCGAATACATACACCACTGCCGGTTCTTCTGCTGGTGCTCCTGCTTTGATTCCTGCTGCTTCCTCCGTCTCTGCTGTAACCTCTGTTGCTTCAATCTCTGCAGCTGTAGCCTCTGTTGCTTTAACCTCTTCTGCTTTAACATCTGTTGCTTTAACCTCTGCTGCTTTAACCTCTGGTGCCTTAACCTCTGTTGCTTTAACATCTGCTGCTTTAACTTCTGCTGCTTTAACCTCTGCTGCTTTAACCTCTGCTGCTTCAACATCTGCTGCTTTAACCTCGGTTGCTGTAACCTCTGTTGCTGTAACCTCTGCTGCTTTAACCTTGGCTGCTTTAACCTCTGCTGCTTTAACCCCTGCTGCTTCAACCTCTGCTGCTTTAACCTCGGTTGCTTTAACCTCTGTTGCTTTAACCTCTGTCGCTTTAACCTCTGCTGCTTTGACCTCTGTCGCTTTAACCACTGTTGCTTTAACCTCCGTTGCTTTAACCTCTGCTGCTTTAACCTCGGTTGCTTCGACCTTGGCGGCTTCGATTGCAGTTGTTTCTGTTGTTGTAGCAGCCTGCATCTCGGTGATAGACGAGGCAGACGTAACAGCAGCTGTAGCAGCGGCGCCAGAAGTAGTGGCAGGGGTGATAGCAACGTTTGTTGTAGCAGTGGTAGAGTTGGCAGTTGTGGTGGTGCTGTTGCCGCTGCTAACAATTTTGCTGGCAGCAGCAGCAGCGGCAGCAGCAGTAGCAGCAGCAGCACCAGGGCGAGCAGTAGCAAGACTGGAAGCAGTGGCAGCAGTGGTGGCAGCAGTGGTGGCAGCAGTGGTGGCAGCAGTGGTGTCAGCAGTGGTGGCCAGCAGCAGCAGCAGCAGCAGTGGTGCCAGCAGTGGTGGCAGGGGTGACAGCATCGCTTGTTGCAGCAGTGGTAGAGCCAGCAATTGTGGTACTGCTGTCAGTGCTGATAACGCTTGTACTGGCAGCAATGGCGGCGGCACCGGTGGTAGCAGCAGCAGTATTGGCAGCAGCAGCCATGGCGGTGGCGGTGGTGGTGGTGGGAATGGTGGTGGTGGGAATGGTGGTGGGTGGGATGATGGTGGTAGCAGTGGCAGTGGTGGTGGCGGTGGTGGTGGTGGTGGCGGTGGTGGTGGTGGGGGGGGGGATGGCGGTGGTGGCGGCGGTGGGGATGGTGGCAGTGGCGGCGGTGGTGGTGGTGGCGGTGGTCTGGGACGGCAACGCTGGTGGAGAAGAAGGGCCAGCAGCAGCAGCAGCACTGGGAAGGCTGCCATGTTTTGACTCAGCAGCAGCACTGGGAACGCTGACTTGCGTTGACTCAGCAGCGTCGGCAGAAGCAGTGGGAGCGCTCATCACACCCAAAACTGCAGATTTCACCAGATCATCCCAATCAGTTGAGGCCGTATGAGTAGGTTCGGGAGAAGGACGAAAATACGGAGAATCCGCGGGACTAGTAGACTCCTCCTCGAGTAGAAGAGCAGAAGCCATAGCTTGGACAGACTGGATTAGAGGGAGGAGGCTGGTTGGAGGTACAGGGACAGGGACAGACATGTTGCCAGTCGACTCAAAACTGGCTGGAGGTACAGGCACAGGCATGCCGTCAGGAGAAACAGGCTGTGAGGAAGCGGAGGGGTGGTGTTGATGTGGTGTTGTGTGTGAAGCGGGGAGGGGAGAGGAGGAGCGAGCAGAGGGGGATGCGCTGAGGGGGGATGGAGGTCGAGAGGAGGGAGGGGGAGAGGGAGGAGGGGGAGAACTGCGAGGGGGAGGGGAGGAGGAAGAGGTGGAAGGGGAGGGGGAGGCGGAAAGGGGAGGGGGAGGCGGAAGGGGAGGGGGAGGCAGAAGGGGAGGAAGAGGCGGAAGGGGAAGGGGAGGCGGAAAGGGAGGGGGAGGCGGGAAGGGAGGGGGAGGCGGAAGGGGAGGGGGAGGCAGAAGGGGAGGAGGAGGCGGAAGGGGAGGGAGTGGAAGGAGCAGGAAAAGTTAACTGGGAAGGAGGAGGAGGAGGAGCGGGGGGAAGGGGAAGGGGAAGCAGAAAGGGAGGGGAAGGTGCAGTGGCAATGGCCCGAGGAGACATGAGAGTTGTAGACGGGGATAGCGATGGGGTGGGAAGAGTGGTGGTGGTGGTTGTGGTGGTGGAGACTGGCTTGGCGCGCAGGGCAGGCATGGCCAGCGACACGTGGACGTCGGGGTGGGTGACGTGGCGCACTGCGATTGGTCATGGGTAGGGAAGAGTGAGGGGAGGGGGGGGAGAGGAAGGGGGAGGGGGAGGGGGAAGGGGAATGGGAGGGCTGGCTGAGAGATGGAGATGAGGGGGAGTGGAGGAAGGTTCAAGTTCAGAGATTGTTAGGTTTTTTTTTTTTTTTTTTTTTTTTTTGCCCTTTTCCTTGTCTTTTCTCTAATATCATTTTCTTTTATTTTCTCTCGAAAAAACGAGAGTTGTTGAAAAGCTATAGAGACCGTAGCTGACAGAGAGGCAATGACGAGACGGGAAGGCAAGGCAAGGGAAGGCAAGGCAAGGAGAGGGCGAGCAGACACGGGAATGGGACACGACCTGGTGCAGTCGGAGCAGTTGCAGCCGCCGTCGCAGCCGCCGCAGCTACACCCGCTCCCCCTCCCCCTCCCCCAACGGCTCCCAGTCTCCGCACTCCCCCCAGCGCACCCCCCCCGGCTGCTGCCCCTTCTTCCCCGGTGCTCCCCCCGCCTGCTCCCGCTGCTCCCACTGCGAACGGAGGGACGAGGGGGAGTAACCTCTTAAGTCTGCTTCGCCCCCCGCTGCTGCTACTATTGCTGCTGCCGCTACGGCTGCCGCTGCCGCTACTGTTACTGCTGCTGCTGCTTCTGCCATTCTCCCCGACACCCGCGCTGCTACCGCCGCCGCTCCCGACGGCGCCATTCACGGCGTGATCCCCGCTCCGCGTTTTCCGCAGCAGCTGCGCAACCACCGCTCCCGCCATCACCACGAGCAGACCCAAGCACGCCGCGCCGGCGAAAATACCCGCCACTCCGCTGCTGCCACGTGTCAGCGGCCCAAATCCCCCGCCCTTATTGCCAAAGCCTCCGCCGCTGCCTAAGGCCGAGCCGCTTCCTCCCCTATCACTGGTAATAGATGCATATAATGGGGCTACAGTAACCGGGCCACGCGGCTCGGGCTGACTGTCTACTAAGGAAGCTTGGTAACGGCGGCGCGCAGGGAGTAGCGGGAGATTTGCTCCGCTCGTAGACGCAGCACCAGCCGCGGCGGCAGCGCCGGATAATGCGGGCGGGGAACCCACTGGCGGTGCGTGCAACACTCCAGTCCCCGCTTCAACTCCCGCGTAAGCCTCTTCCGCACAAGCCGCCGCAACTCCCGCCGCCTCGATAACATCACCGGTAGTACCAGCAGCGGTCGCTGTATTACTATCATTCGCACCCGAGGGTTCTTCCATTTTCTCATCCATTTCCTGTTCAATTCCCTGTTGGATATGCTCGTCAGAACTTTGAACAATCCCTTGAATCCCAATGCGGTACTCAATATCAGCTGCTTCGATTCGAGGAGGGTGCTGCGCTATTCCCGCCGTGTCATGCTTAGAAGAGCTCGAATGAGTCCCGGGTGCCGTGGTCTCGGAATAATCAGCGCGCTTATTATAAGCGTTCTGATGAGCGGTTTGATTAGCGTTTCGATTAGAGTACTGATACGCGCCGTGATAGGCGCCGTGATGTCCGCCACTACCAGAAGTAGCAGCGCATGCGGAGGTAAACCGACATCTCTTAGTAAGCGCGACGGCTTCGCTCGGAAACCGTGCGAGTCGCCAACAGAGTCGCGAATGCAGCTCTTCTGCACGGGAGAGATAGTAGCCGCCGCCGCCGCCGCCGCCGCCGCTGCTGCCGCCGAAGCCGCCGCCGAAGCGAGCGGTGGCAGCTGCTGCTGATGCTGCTGCGGCTGCTGCGGCTGGGACGCGGAAATTTGACACGTAGAACGGCGATCGCGCGGCGGCTGCTGCGGTTGGGACGCGGAAATTCGACGTGTAGAACGGCGACCGCGCGGCGGTTGTCGCTCCGCCTGCCGAGCGTCGGCCGCGGAGGAATCGCGCGGACGCCGGCCGCGTCGCCGCGCCGCCGCCGCTGGAGTTCCGCGGGTATCTAAAGCTGCGCGCGACGCGGTGAAAGGGGAAGGACGGCGAGACTGCGCCGCTAGGAGCTCGGGACGTATGCGAGAAATGCGCAGAATGGGGAGAGTGCGGGAAATGCTGGGAGCACGAGCGGAATACGTGATGTGCTGGCGATGAAAAGAGCAGCTGATGGGAAGTGCCACTTCCAACCACCTGTTGACCACCAGCAAATTGTTGGCCATGGCTCCCCCGGTCGCGAGAGACGACGATGCTACCGTCGTCATGGTCGGATTGCGCGTGCCGCGCGGGGTTTGCGACGCCTGGTGGGAAGTCAGAGCATAGGGATAGGCGAGTCGTGATACGGTTCGGAAGGCGCGCTGGCGTGGCAGCGTGATGACCAGATTAAGGCTAGAGGTAGCTGGTGTTTTTGAGACGTCTCAAAACTTAGACTTTGAGGCGTCCCAGAAAACAGGCGGGTGTTAGCGTTAGTTGCTATCCACTGGTCCTTATGCATTGCTTGCGGGAGGGCAATGGCAAGTACGCGTGGCAGGGTGGTGAAGACAGATCTGAGCAGAAAGCTGCAATGGCGGGAAGAATTGTGCTGGTTTTTGAATAAGATACATCTGAGGGAAAATGCAGAGCCCCAACAAGACTGTCGCGCTTAGCGTAGGGTTTGCTGCTGCCGATGATCTCGTCCTAAGACTGGACCTACAGGACATGACTAATGACAGACAGCAGGTATGCGTGGTCACTAGTCGCAAACAACCTGTGAACATTGCCGACTGGTAGCGGCTGGGTTGGTAAAGTTCGACTTTCTCAAACATGGTGGTCCTACCCACCAGAGGCGTCTGTTTAGGCAAAATGGGCGTCCGCTTTCATTCCTGCCCATTAGGGAACGTTCCTGGCCGGTGTCAAACTTCATGTCAGGGGTTTCTGTATCTTTTAGTGGGGTAAGTAAAGTAAAGTAAAGTTATAGGGGAAACCCCCTTTGGTATTACCCCACCTGGCTGTCGGTCGTAACCCGCCTCCCCATCTGTTTACACGCCTCGCTGGGTTAGGTTGATCTATCCACTCCCAGATGAGCACCTGTGTAGTCCCTTTTAGGAAGGACTGGCTGTAAGAACACGCCGCAGGGGGGATTTGATCCCGGGACCTCATCTTTCGGAAGTGAACCAGCTAACAGCTGGGCCACTTCAGGATGTATCTTTTAGTGGGGTGGGACATTTTTCGATCATATCAGAATATTTGGTGAAGGGAAACCAGAAATATACACAAATAGTAAAACACCCAGAAAGTGTTGAAAGTCTGCTATGGCTGGAATCTGAAGGAAATCAAAGCGCAAGGGGCTCCTACTGCTGTGTCAGGCTTTGTCGTGGCCCGCTGGTCAAATGCAGATGGCGGGAAAAAAACTCGGCTGCACCGAATCCTTGTCCAGCAACGGACACCTCATCCATTGCGTGGAATGGTCCGCGAGTCCCAGAACAAACCCAACCCAAAGCAAGATATTTCCCACGTTCAGGGGGGATCAAAATCAGGACCCCCAACCACCAGCCTAGGGCGTAAGGTTGGGGTTCTGTAACTGAGTAATCGTGTTTCCAATACAGTACACAGTTGGACCCTTAACAGTGCGTAATATCGAAACTTTTTATAAATGATGAACACGTTTACCTCCCACGCCTGCCAAGCAAGCTTGCTGACGGCGAACGAAGGAGGCTCGTCAAAAACAATGCCATCTACTTTGGGGCGGCGCAGCGAGGAAGTTTTGCATACTGGGCACGCAAATTCCCGAAAGTTGTCGTGATGGATCCAGCACGCAGGATTGAAGCGAGGTTGCGTGGATGGTCGTCCTGTACACGGTCGGTGGAAAAGAAAACTTCGTGTGAAGGACGAGGCTCCTGCTGTTCGCGTCCGTCAGTCAGTCGGCGTGTTCGCAACTCCGTCAGCTGGCGAACACCTGTTCAGACGGACTGCCGTCTCAACGACGTCACCTGAAACGCCCTGCTGGGAAGGTGAAAAGCAACTGTCAATCAGGTCTGGTCCAAACCAGCCGCTTCCGTCCGACCACGCACTCGAGCCGGAGCTCAAACCTGCAAACCCAGACCAACCTGGATTCCGAACCGGGTCAAGCAAGGCCTCAACTATTCGCGTAGTACCTAAGGGCGCTTCACCTCTCGGTTCGAACAACACACTCCTTCGAACAGGCGAAACATTACTTATTTCGCCATAATTCGTATATGTATTCGTGACGTCGCCAATCCCAATTTTCGTCAATCCGAACAGAGCTGTCACATGAAGCATGAAAGCTCTTCATTCCGCACGTTCGAACAGGGTGGTCCGAACAAGTTGGGATTGGTGACACACAATTCCGCACAAACGACTGATTTGATTGGTCAACAGTGTTCCGGGTCGCACACGAATGTTTACGACAATGTGTTGCGACGTCGTTCGTTCGTGGGCGACATCGCTGTGTTCGAACAGACAGCGTGTGCGAATAGCGATGGCGTCACCTGCAATGCACGGTTGTCACATTCGCACATTGCACGAATTTGTGTTCGACACCACTTGGGAGGCTGTTCGTACAGTAAAACTGATACGTCTGTTCGGATTTGGGCCTTCCGGCCCCAAGGTGAAGCGCCCTAAAAGAGCCGTTGCTGCCGTGGCTTGAGATTGCCGCAAATCTCCCCCTCTGTTGATCAGTTCGGCTGTGGTTCAGCTCAGGCCTTTCCCATCCTAGTCATTCTTCCATCTTCGTGCTCTTTCATCCACGCAGCTCACCACAAATATTTGATGTCAATGACAGCTGCACGCTATGACTGACATATGTTCTTAGTCAGCACTTGTCTATTGCGTTCTGGTAGAGAGCCACGGGCTGACGTAAGCGATCGCGCCAGCTGGCCTTGATTCTTCGCGTTCGTCTGTTGTTTATTTGCATCGTCGCACCGCAGTACCCTGCAGCGTTGGAAGGTGCGTCCGCCTGACTTCCTAGTTCTTTGCGCCGTTCTACGCGTCTGTTTACTCAATGTAGCTTCTAAATAAAGCCTTAATATCCTCTTGTGCTGTATGTTCTCTGCTGATATTCGCTGTGGGTTTCCTCTCGTTTTAACATCCCGCAGGAAAACGACATTTCTCAGCTTGTCGTGACGATTTTCCGTTCTTAAAACGTTCGTAGCGAAAGGTGGGAGTCAGCACGACTCACGCCGCGTCATGGTCAGGCACTGGGTGATTCTAGGGTTCTTTCCCGCCGGTATTGCTGCGCGTAGCTGGCGTAGCAGGCGTAGCAGCCCAAGCGGCCTGATCACAGTTCATTCTCACACAGTTCCTATAGCGCATTGAAAGTGATCGGCTCGTGCCGGTTCATCCCGCACTCGACTCACTTAGCTTCTCCCTTGCCTTCGCCACCCGTCTCGCTCTTCTCCCTTTCCACTTCGTCATCTATCCGCTCCTCATCACCCTTTCTCACACTCTTCTCACTGGCGTCCTCCGCCTCCCCGCTCTTTCTCCTCTCCGCCCCCATTCCCCACCCCTCACCCATGTTTCCCCCTATTTCTGCGTTCCGCCAGTCGTTCCGCAGTCACTCCAACGATCTTATTCATCCCATCCCTGGCGGCATGGGTTCACACAGAGCACCTACCGGAGGGCTTGATTCTGCCCTAGCAGCCGCCTCCGCCGCTGCAGCAGCAGCAGCCGGTCCCGCGTCCCCCTACCACGCCCCGCTCCGCGCTCCCCCAGGCGCCCCCGCCCCGGACCCGCGCCACCACCCTTTCGCCCCTCCGGCGCGCGCCTTCCCCGGTTCCCCCGGCAACCCCGCCTCCCCAGCTGCTGCGCGAGGCGCTGCTCCCGCTGTTACAGGGGATGCTGAGGCGGCGGCGGCGGCTGCCGCGGCGGCGGTAGCGGCTGCTGTGTTTCGGCCGGCTGGCGGCGCGCCGTCCCCGCCTGTGTCCGCGGGGCGCGCGCAACTGGCGGCGGCGAAGCAGCAGCAGGCGGTGCAGGAGCTGCTGCGCCAGCAACAGGCGCAACCGCAGGCGCAGGCGCAGGCGCAGGGGAGGCCAGCAGCAGCAGCAGCAGCAGCAGGCGCAGAAACCGTACATGTTTCACCAGGAGCTGGAGCAGCAGCTGAATCAACTGTCGCATAGGAATTCACCGGACCAGCCGCGGTCGCCGCAGCACCAACCGCAGCAGCAGGCGCAGCAGCAGGCGCAGCAGCAGAGAGGCGGGATTGACCTGGGTGCGCTGAGAGGGAGGCTGGCGGCAGCGGAGGAGAGAGCGGTTGGAGTAAGTGCAGTGCGGTGGGAGAAGAGGAGGGCCGTGAGAACGAAATAGAGGGAAATGCCGTGGTTGGTTGGCAAGCGGGAAGGGAAGAAAATAGGGTTGGAAAGGGAGAGAGAGAAGCGCGTGGTTGGTTGGTTGGTTGGGCCTCGGAATGCCGTCTGACTCTTCAATGGCGGCGGCGCTAGCACCGTTCCACCCACCTAGGCCTAGCCACCGTCAGGGCGAGAGAAAACCGCAGCTTAACGGTGGCTAGGTCTAGGTGGAACGGAACGTTACCATAGAAGTCAGATTCTAAAAGCCCACCTACCCTGCCTCTGTGCTCCCATTGCCCTTGCCCACGGCCCCACCCACGCTCCCACCCTCGTCCCCACCCGCGCCCCCGTCCACCACTATCAGGGCGAGAAGGAGAGGGGAGAGGCAGAGGTCGCTGGGCAGAGGGAACGCAGCAGCATGTTCTGCTAGCGTATTCCCCAAAGCACTGATTCCCATCCGCGCCCCCACGCCCCCCGGCTCACCACCATCAGGGGGAGAAGGAGCGGCGGCGGTCGCTGGACAGACTGAACGCTAGCCTCTGTGCTCCCATTGCCCATGCCCACGGCCCCACCCACGCTCCCTCCCACGCCCCCACGCCCACAGGGGGGGAAGGAGAGGCGGAGGTGCCTCAATAGGGTCAACGCAGCAGCATGCGTACTCCCAAAACCACCCACTCCCACCCACGCCTCCACTGCCCCTCGCCCCCACGCCCACGACCATCAGAGCTAGAAGGAGCGGCGGCGATCGCTGGACAGACTGAACGCCAGCCTCTGTGCTCCCATTGCCCATGCCCACGGCCCCACCCACGCCCCAACCCACTCTCCCACCCTCGTCCCCACCCACTCCCCACGCCCACGACCATCAGAGCGAGAAGGAGCGGCGGCGGTCGCTGGACAGGCTGAACGCTAGCCCGTCCCCGTCTGTGAGCTCCCGGTCTGACCCTGGCGCTGCCGCTGGCGGTGTTGGCGGTGGTGGAGGTGGTGGAGGTGGTGGTGGCATGGGGGACGGCAGGGACAGGGAGAAGGAGGTGCAGGAGCTCAAGGCGAGACTCGAAGCTGCAGAGGAACGCGCCTCCGATGTAAGGCGGTGTGTGGAGGGGGACGGGGAGGGAGGTGCTTGGATGTGTGGTTGGTTGGTACTGGAAGGCGGGGAAGGTTGTGTGGGGGTGGTGTGACTGAGGGCGAGTTTGGGGTGGGGAACGAAGTGGGGATAGGGGTGAGGGTTGCTGAGAGGTGCTTATCTCTCTCTTGTCTTGTCCCGTTTAATGCTCCATTCACCTCCACCGCTTTCCCCCACACCCCCCACTTCCCCCTTCTCCCCCTTCCCCATTCCCACCCTCCTCTCTTGCCGCGTGCTGCGTGGTTATGCGGGCTTAAAGTGCTTACATGCTTTGTGCATGTGTGTGCGTGCGTGCGTGCGTGCGTGCATGCGTGCGTGCGTGCGTGCGTGCGTGCGTGCGTGCGTGCGTGCGTGCGTCGTGAGTGCGTGATGGCATGTGGGCTTTTGCGTGCATGCAGGCATCGCTGGATTGCAAGAGGCTGTTCCAGGAGCGCAACCAACTCAGGCAGCAGTTGGTGGGTGGGTGGGTGGGTGGGTGGGTGGGTGGGTGGGTGGGTGGGTGGGTGAATAAGTGGGTGGGTGGGTGGGTGGGTGGGTGGGTGGGTGGGTGGGTGGGTGGGTGGGTGGGTGGGTGGGTGGGTGCGTGGGTGGTAAGTGTGCCTCGCGTTCATGCGCATGCTTGAATGAATGGAGCTGGTTTTTGAGAATTCTCAAAAACTGCTTGAATGAATGGAAGCAACAAGAAGGCAAGAAAGCAGATGTCGATCAACGCGTGGAAGGCACTAACCGCACAGATGCTCGCTTTCTCACCCTGACATGCCCCCAATCGCATACCCACCCGTGAAACCATGCACGTGCACGCTGAAGCTTGCACTGCATACTTCCTACCTTCTTCCATGATGGCCCCCTTTCTCTCCCGTTGATCTTGAATTGACTAGACAATGATGAGATTGCATGTGCATGTGCATGTGCTGAATGAGTAGACTGCAATGCATGAATGCTGCAAAGGATTGGCCACGCATGATTGTTACCCTGCGACCCCAACTTGATTTATCCTTCCTGATCCCTCACCTTTCCTCTTTTCCTCACTCATCTCCACTCATCTTCCCCCTCCTCTCTCCCCACTCTCTACCCTCCACACTCTCCTCCTCCCGCACTCTTGCCTCCCTCTTCTCTCAGGCAACGCAGCAAGCTCTTCTCTTGAGACAGTTTTTACGACTGCTCTTTACTCTTCTCAAAATTCCACCCTCAATGTTTCATCCCTCCGCTCTTTCCACCCCTGTCCCTCTCTTTTCCTCACAGGCGAAGAAGCAGCAGGAAGCAGCAGCAGTGGCAGCGCTTGCGAAACATGTAACCCCCCCCCCCCCCCCCCCCCCCCACCACCCCACCCCCCTCCCCCGCCGTGCTCCCCCTTCGTCACTCCAACCCTCGCCCTCCCCCCTCCACCCCTCACTCCAGGCTGCGCAGCAAGCTCTGCTGGCAGACGCAAAGAAGCAGCAGGAAGCTGCAGCCGTGGCAGCGGTAGCAAAACTATCACCCCCTCCCTTCCCTCACCCGTCTCTCCACCCCTCGCCCTGTCTCCTCTTCCCAGGCTGCGCAGCAAGCTCTGCTGGCAGACGCAAAGAAGCAGCAGGAAGCTGCAGCCGTGGCAGCACTCGCAAAACTAGCCGTTGGTGGTGGTGGTGGTGGTGATGGTGGTGGTGCGGGTGTGGAGGCCGAGAGAGAGAGGGAGGCTCACAGGAAGCAGATACAGGCAATGGAAGAAGCGATGAGAGAGAAAGAGAGGCACGTGCGGGAGCTTGAAGAGAAAGTGAGAGAGCTGGAGGGGAGGTTGAGGGAGATAGAGGAGAGGAAGGAGAAGGAGGCGGGGGAGTGGAAGGAGAAAGGGATGAAGGAGGAGGAGAAGGTGAGGGGCGAGCAGGAGCGGAAGGTGAAGGAGCAGGAGGGGAGGATTGAGGAGCAGGAGAGCAGGATTGGGAAGCAGCAGGATATTATTGAAGAGTTGGAAGATACAGTGGATGCTCAGGAGGCGAAGCTGAAAGCGCAGGACGAGAGGATTGAAATGCAGGAGGGTAGTATCAGGGTGTTGGAAAGTAAGGTTGAGGAGCAAATGAGCACGATCAGCGAGCAGGAGAGGACGATTGAGGAGCAGAAGGGAAGGATTGAAAGCCTGGGGAGGCAGGTGGGAGAATTGCAAGGGAAGCTGGCAGAGGTTGAGGCGGAAGGGAGGAAGAAGGGGAGTGTTGGGGTGCAGAGGGAGGAGGAGGTTCGAGTGATGGAGAGGAGGGTTTTTGAGAGAGAGGAGAGGCTGTTAGTGCGGGAGGAGAGGGTGATAGAGAGGGAGGAGAAGGTGAGTGTGAGGGAGGAGCGGGTGGCGGAGAGGGAGGAGAGGGCGAGGAGGAAGGAGGAGGAGGGGGAGTATGGGCGGCAGGTTGCTTTGAGCCAAGCGGTTGCAAGAGATAAGGTGAGGTGCAGTGCAGTGCAGCAGTCACAGGGTGGTTGTGTGGGCCTGGGTGGGTGGGTGGGTGTGTCGGTGTGTTGGGTAGGTGGGTAATTCTGTAATTTGGGGTGAGTGGGTGGGGAGGGGAATTAGCATGGCAAATGACTCTTGTACACTTGGCAGGGGCACAATGCGGGCAGGCAGACTATGCCATGCCATTTTCTCTTGTACTGGTGGCATGCCTCGGTTCCCTCAAAAAATGTTTCTTTCTTCTTCTTCTTCCTTCTTTTCCACATTATTTATTATGCATGTACCAGGAGGAAGCACTGGCAAAGCAGGTGCAGCAGTGGAAGGCAGAGGCAGAAGCGCACAAAGCAGCAAGTGCAAAGTGGGAAGAATCCCACCGGCAGCAGCAGCAGCAGCAGCAGTGCATGCGCTGCAATGCAGCCCAGTGCACCACCCCATGCTTATCTTGTCCCCCTGCTTGCCTTCTACCTGCCCCCTGCTCCCACTTTCTTTCTCTCTTTATTTATTATTATTCTTTTTTTTTTCTTGACAGTTCATGGTTGAAAAGGTGCCTGACTTATGCCTTATGTCTTGTGTTGTAGCTCATATGTGTGGCTTGTCTCGTGTTGTTTGTTTTGTTTTTTTATGTCGTGTGCCTTGTGGCCTGAATCTGCACTCTACAGGTTCAGGAGGAGCTTGAAAAGATGAGAGCTGCAGCATCTGCTGCTGCTGCAGCAGCAGCCAGAAGCGCGGGGAGAGAAGAGGAGCTGAAGCAAGCACAGACGGAGCTGCAGCAGCTGAGGCACCTGCAGCAGCAGGCAGAGCAGCAGGCGCAGCAGCAGGGCGCGGAATGGGAGGAGAAGAAGGCCGAATGGGAGCAGAAGCTGCAGGAGAAAGAAAAGGAGGTGCGGAAAACGCGGGTGGAGGCTGACGGGGTCCGGAGGGAACTAGAGAGGGTGAAAGCAGAGAGAGAGCAGGAGAGGACCGCGCTTCTGAACAAAGCGCCGTCGTTCGGGAGGGAGAGGGAGCAGCAGGAGTGGAGGAGGAAGGAGGCGGAATGGCAGGTGAAGGAGCAAGAGCTGGTAGATGTTGCGGTGGAGGTGGAGGAGGAGGCGGAGAAGCTAAGAGGACAGCTGGAAGGGATGAGGGTGGAGGTGGAGGAGTGGAAGGCAAAGGTGGGGGCGCTGCAGGCGGAACTAGAGGGCGCTAAGAAGGCTGCTGCACTGGCGGTGAGAGCTTGGGGATGGATGGAGGGAGGGGGGGAGTGATGGAGGAAAAGAGGGAGGGGAGCGATGGGAGGGATTGGTGGGACGGAGGAAGGATGGGAGGGAGAAAGGGATAGAGGGGGGGAAGATGGGTCAGAAGAAAGTGCTCATAGAGGAAGTAAAGGATTTAGGACCGGAAGGTCCGCTCAAAAACCTTGTAGTTGTTTTGAGATCTGCAGATGTGGCGTAATGTGGCGTGAATGTCCTAGCAGCAGATTTTTCTGCTTTCCTGCTTTCCCTGCTCTCCTCTCCTGCTTTCCCGTCTTGAACACGACATCGTCTCGTCTCGTTTCCTCTTTTTCCTAACTGTCTCTTTATGCTGTTTGGCCCCTTATGATTGCTTTCATGTCGTGTGCGGTGATGTTACTGATGACACATGCAGGCACAGGGGAGCGTGGGGAAGGAGGTGCTGCAGAAGGAGCAGGAACTGAGGCAGCAGGTGAGCGTGAAACGGCAGTGGGGTTGGGGATCTGAAAGGAAAGCAGCAGCTAAGAACATTGCTGACATGAAGAATGTGAAGTGAAGTGAACTACTATTAGCAGTAGCACCCTGAAATGAAATATGCACCTCAAGTGTCTAGTACTGCTTTGCTTGTCAATCTCTGTTGTTCATAAAGTGGAAGGCTAGAGGGTTTCGTTGACCTGCCTTGTTCATTGCTCGACATGCCATGTGCTCAAGTATCAATGTATCAGAAACAAAAACCACAACACAAAACCATGTACACTCACACCCACCCCCCCCCCCCCCAACCCCCCCCCCCTCCTCTCCCCCTTTCTCCAACACTCACACACACACACACACACACACACACACACACACACACACACACACACACACACACACACAGTTTGAGGAAGCTGTAAACACACTCACAACATGCAAACAAGCAAGCAAGCAAGCTCACAACGAGTCTGCTGCTGTAGCACTGCTGCGCATGTGTGTTGTCCTGTCCTTCCCGTGCTGCTGGCCATGTCAATTGGCACTGTGCAAGGAAGGAAGGAACCTTTCACAGGTTGAACCAATGACCAGCCAATCAGGCCAAGGTGCCCCAATGTGCTTCCCCCAGTCCCATGCGCTCCCCCATGCCGCTCCCCCATGCGCTCCCCCATGCGCTCCCCCATGCCGCTCCCCCCATGCCGCTCCCCCCATGCCGCTCCCCCCATTCCGCTCCCCCATGAAGGTGCGGTTCAAGCTACCCTTGCTGCACCTATGTCCCTTCCCCCTTCATGCGCCCCTCTTCTTCCCTCATGCACCCGTCTTCTTCCCTCATGCACCCGTCTTCTTCCCGCATGCGCCCTCTCCCCTCTCCCCTCCACAGATGCAGGAGAAGGCAGAGATTCTGGCAGTGAAGGACTCGACTCAAGCTACCCTTGCTGCTTCGCCCTTTCCCCTTTGCTACTCTTCCCTTTCTTTTCTGCTCATGTGGCCCTCCTTGCTCGCCCAATCTGCAGGCGCAGGACAAGGCGGAGGTGCTGACAGTGAAGGTGGCAGCGCTGCAAGCTACACCCATGTGTTGCTGCACCTAATCGTTTCGTTTCGCCTATGTGTTGCTCTGCGCCTGTGCCTCTCTCTTTTCTCTGCCACTGCACAGGCGCAGGACAAGGCGGAGGTGCTGACAGTGAAGGTGGCCGCGCTGCAGGCTACCCTTGCTGCACCTAATCGACTCACCCATGTGTTGCTCTGCGCCTGTGCCTCGTGACTTTTGAGTCGACTCGGAAGTATACTCGTTTCACCTATGTGTTGCTCTGCTGCGCCTGTGCCTCTCTTGGTGCTCTGCCACTCCACAGGCGCAGGACAAGGCGGAGGTGCTGACAGTGAAGGTGGCCGCGCTGCAGGAGGAGCAGCGGCAGGCGGAGCAGCAGCGCGCGGAGCTGGAGAGGAAGGTAGCAGAGCAGCAAGGGAACATCCGCCACCTGCAGTCTTTCGCTGCTGAGGTGCGTGCATGCTTGGGGGAGGAGGGGGGGGGAGGAGTGCGGGAAGAGAGGGAGAAGGGGGAAGAGGGGTGAGTGCGGAGCAGCAAGGCAGCATCCACCACCTGCAGTCTTTCGCTGCTGAGGTGCGCTCAGAGGAAGTGGGGGAAGACGGGGAAGGGTTGGGTAAGGGGGGGAATGGAGGGGTAGTGCGGAGCAGCAGTGGGCGGAGCTGGAGAGGAAAGTAGCAGAGCAGCAAGGAAACATCCGCCACCTGCAGTCTTTCGCTGCTGAGGTGCGTACCCTGGGGGGAAGGAGAAGAGGTGACTTTTGAGTCGACCCAAGAGCAGCAAGGAAACATTCGCCACCTGCAGTCTTTTGCTGCTGAGGTGCGTACCTGGGGGGAAGGAGAAGAGACGACCTTTGAGTCGACCCAAGAGTAGCAAGGCAGCATCCACCACCTGCAGTCTTCCGCTGTTGAGGTGCGCTCAGAGGAAGTGGGGGAAGACGGGGAAGGGTTTGGGAAGGGGGGGAATGGAGGGGTAGTGCGGAGCAGCAGCGGGCAGAGCTGGAGAGGAAAGTAGCAGAGCAGCAAGGGAACATTCGCCACCTGCAGAGCTTTGCTGCTGAGGTGCGTGCATGGGTGGGGGAAAGGGGCATGGGAGGGATGGGGCATGAATGATGGGGAGAGAGAGAAGCAGCGGGCGGAGCTGGAGAGGAAGGTGGCGGAGGAGCAAGGGAACATACGCCACCTGCAGAGCTTTGCTGCTGAGGTGCGTGCATGGTGGGGGAATAGGGGGCATGGGGGGGGGAGAGGGATGGGAGAGGGGAAGATTGGAGGGAGAGGAGGGGGGGAAGAAGATGGGTGGCGGAAGAGAATGGGAAGGCCAATGAGTACTTGCTTTGGTATCTTTTATTCTCTCCCCACCCCCCCCTCCTCTGCCCCTTTTTTTCTAATAATAATACTAATTATTGTTATTACTACTACTACTACTGCTATTATTATATTATTATTTTAGCCATCCCTCCATGCTTTCTGACTTAATTCTCGAGCTCAGACGGACTGCCTGAACCCACGGTCGAACCCGAGCCGTGGTTCTTCTAGGCCTGCTGCATGCGCTCCCCTGTTGCACACATGCTTGCTTCTTTTGACTCTTTAACAAATCAGATTGTTCAAAGAGCCCCAGTGCTGGTGTGTCACCTGCCCATTGCATGTATGCCTTCCGTCGCGTGTTTGTTTGCGTGTTCGCTTGCTTGCTTGTCTGCTTGCTTGCTTCGTTTCTCGCTTGTTTATTTGCTTGCTTGCGCTGTTGCGCTTTTCTAGGCTCTCCAATTTGTGGTTCTTCCCTGCCCTCTGCCTGTGCGCCCCTTGTCGCATGTGTATCTATGTGCGTGAATGTGCGTGCGTGTGTGCTTGCTTGCATGTGTGTTTTCTTTCAGACGTCCTCCACCTCCAAAGCCCAAGTTGCGAAGGCACAGGAAGAGATCGATTACCTGCGCGGACAATTGGCGGTGCGTGTTGTGCACGTGTACACGTTTTTTCGATTGAAACAAACAAACAAACAAACAGAATTGTAGGCTCATGAATGGATAGCTTGTAGGCTTATGAATGGATAGCGTAGACACGCACATACACGCGTTTCTCACTTACTCACTACAATTGCCACTTCCTATCGTTTCTTATGCTCTTCCCATTGTGCTGCCTGCCTGCCTTGCATTTGACAGAAGGCTGCTCAGGCCGCAGTGGCCTCAAGGCACAACGCTAGCAGCAGCGAGGCAGATAAGAAGCAGATTGCTGAGATGAGGACGCAGCTGGTAAGGACCACATCACATCGCATCGCATCGCATCGCATCGCATCGCATCACACACATTTCATTTCAACACATGTCAACGGATCTCGTCGCAGTTCAACACATCTCATCGCATCTCATCACATTCCTGACATGAAGTGACATCTTGTCTCGTCTCGTCTCGTCTCGTCTCGTCTCGCCCGTCTCGTCTAGTCTTGTCTTGTCTCATCTCATCACATCTCATCATCACATCACGTCTTATCTCATTGTCACAACCCTAAATCCAGCGAGCATTAGAGGTTTGCAGAGGCCGCAGAGATACGCCACTTGGGATGTTCTTTTCTTTCTTGTTTCCCACCGGTGGATGGGTATTGAGTCGTCTCCTAAGCAATTGCGGATTCTGCCTCTGTGTACATATCCTACTCCCCCCACTGCAGGCAACGGTGCAGGCGAAGCACCAGCGGGCAGTGCAGGAGGTGCAGAGGTTGGTGGGTGACTGTTGAGTCAACTCATGAGCCATGGTGGATCCTCTCCTTTGTGTATCCTTCACTCCCCCCTCTGCAGGCATCGGTGCAGGAGAAGCACCAGCGGGCACTGGAGGAGGTGAAGAGGTTGCAAGAGGTGGCTGAAGCAGAGAAGAACAAGGTGAGGCGAGGTTGTGAGGCGAGGGGAGACTCGTGGTGTCGTGAGGGGGCATTACTGGTATGGGAGGTTGACTTTAAAGGGTTGCCGGGTTGTGAGGCTGAGTTTTAGGCTGTGGAAGAGTGGTTGGAGACCCGAACTTCGGTCGGACTAGCATCAGTTGTTTGGGCATCTGGTTTCATAGCTGTTGCCCCTGCCTGCTGCTAGTGCCTAGCAGTTTCAGATTGAGTGCCCCAGATTGAGGGTACCACTTGTGGTCTTACCTGTCAGTATTGCCTCTCTTCTCTCTTTCACACTCTCACTCCACCTCTCTGTTTCTGTCTCCCCCTCACCCCCTCATTCCCCCCTCCCCTCTCCCTTGTCTCTCTCTTCCTCCTCCCTCACTTCTCCCCTCCCTCTCTCCCTCTCTTCCTCCGTCACTCTCCCACTGTGCCTGCTCTCTCCCTCTCCTACCGTACCTGCTCTTTCAGGCAAGGGCTGCAGTGACCCAGCAGCAGCAGCTGCATTCACTTTTGAGAAATCTCATTCACAGATTCAGCATGAAGTCACCCGTTCCCCCTGCGCATGCTCTCTCCCTCTCCACTGTGTTTCAGGCGAGGGCTGCAGTGACCCAGCAGCAGCAGCTGCAATCGCGGATATCAACTGATGTGGTAAGTTTCATTCACCAGGCCTTGTCTTGCGCAAGAGTGAAGAAGGGGCGGAGATATGTGAAGAAGAAGCAGCATGCTGTGCAGACGGTGGGGAGCAGGGAGGGAGTTTGAGAGAGAGGGGAAGGGAGAGATGTGGAGAATTAGTGGTGGGGAAAGGGAGAGTTGAGATTTCTTCACCACACAACAACCAGCGCTCCTGTCCGCATCTACATTGCCTCTTCCTCCCATCCATCATCACCCACTTTTACCCAAGGATCTCTCCCAAGTTTCCTCGACATTTCCCCCTCCCCCCCATCCTCCCTTCTCCATACGCTGTTACCTTCCCCCCACACTCTTCCCTCCAAAACCCACCTCCCATCCACCCTCCCTTCCTGCCTCCCCCCATTCCCCCTCTCGTACTCCCCTTTCTTTCCCCTCTTTTCCCCTTTTCTCTCCCCCATTCCCCTCTCAATGTCTGCTCTGTCCTCCGTGTGCGTGCAGGCTGCATGAATCGATGGAAGAGTCAACTAAAAAATCACCTCCACTTCTGCTCTGTGCCTCTTGTGCATGCAGGGTGCATGCACCGGTGCAACAAACCGGCTGCAGCAGCAGCAGGTGGACAAGCTGATGAGCGACATGCGCGCGTTAGAAGCCTTTTTATGTCTACTCAAGAGTCACTTCTGTGCTTTTTGTGCATGCAGGCTGCATGGACCGATGCAACAAACCGGCTGCAGCAGCAGGTGGACAAGCTGATGAGCGACATGCGCGCGTTAGAAGGTTCCCTTGCTGCAGTCGAAGCGGTCGACAGGTGGACCAATCACAGGGTGAAGCTGATGCAGCAGCAGCAGGGGTTCACGTGCTCTGGCTGCCGCTCGTATGGGATTGGGCTGTCGTGGCGGTGCCTAGCACCCCATTGCCCAGATGCGTTTCATGTGCAGTGCTTTGGGATGAGATAGTTGAAACTTTAGGCATTGTACCGGTAACTTTAGGTTTTGCTTTATTCATTCATCTTGTCGTGTGTTGCTTCTTCTCAGCTTCTCATCCCCCTGACAACACTCTTGATCTCCTGTATGCAGTGTTCATGCTGAATTGTTTCCGAATGTTCTGTACTTCTATACTCAAGTGGGTTAATTTTGTTTTTGAGCCTTTGTTTTGCACAATTCTTGAAGTGGATCAAATCCTGCAATTTTTCACCATCATTGAGATGTAAACGTGAAGTGTACTGACTGGCTTTTACACGTTGGAACGAAACCTTGAACCGAAGCCACCGAAGCCTAAGGGCAGGGCGTGATTGGCAGAGTGTAGCCCCCGTTTGGACGCTGTCCGAACCGAAGCCCGAACCGAGGTTTGGCATGCGTGCGTGTGCTGCACACCACCAGTGTGGTGACGTGACGACTTCCAAGTTCCAACCGAGCAAGGGAATGGGCGAAATCGCGCGCACCGGCGAAAATCGCGTTTGTCTCAAAAGAATCGACCCAAATTGCTCACACTTCGCCATGTGGGCGTTTTTCCTAATTGAATCGACCCCCTTTCCCCCCGCCCCCCCCAACCGTTTTTCCCGCCCTTCCCATCCGAAATTCGGGCATCGGCTAAGGTTTGGAAAGTCACAAACAGTAACGAATACGAGCTCCCTACACCATGCTAAATCCACCATCTAGTCTTGGGATGCCACATCAGCTTTCGCAATTCGATAATTTCGGCGGTTGCTTCTCAATCTCATGAGGCTAATATGCATGTTGATTGTATCACATCTTTTTGGATTAGCCCATAACATTAATGTAGATAGGGGCGCAAGAAAACACATGAAAATTAACCTATATTATTTTTTGTATATCTACATAAATTTCTTTTTAAAAAAACATAAGAAAAAAAGAGTTACATTTCGTAAGATTATGATAATAATCACTCCAAGGCAAATAAAAATATACTATTTTTGAACTAAGTAAATATTTTGTTTGAGTTTATTTCTTGATATTAATTAGAAAAAATTGTACTGATGTTACATAATTAATAAAATCGTACATAATTAATAAAATCCATATTACTGCTAAAGTTATCATGAAAAGTAAAAGTTCGTCCAATCAGATGTCGCTCGCATGTTGAAATCTTAGCGTTGCGGAAAAACATGTATTTGTGACTGTTTGTGATTTCACGAAATTCCAGCGGGTGCCCGAATTTCGGTAGGGACGGGCGGGAAACACGGGTTGGGGGGCGGGGGGAAAGGGGGTCGATTCAATTAGAAAAAACGCCCACGTGGCGAAGTGTGAGCAATTTGGGTCGATTCTTTTGAGACAAACGCGATTTCTGCCGATGCGCGCGATTTTGCCAAGGGAATGCCAGATCATCTTGGCTTGGTTCCGCCCTGCGTGCGGGGTCCGACACAGCTGCGCTTTGCCTTGCTTGCGGAACAGCACACAGCCGTGTCGGTCTCCGCACACAACCACACCACCTGGCTGTTGGAGCGGAATTGCAAATCGCATACCCCAACCCGTGAGGCATGTTCTCCGCTTGGTCTGAAATCTCCAGGGTCAGTTCTGCAAGTCAAGCGTAGACTTCCAGGTCAACTTTCCAGGCGCGCAGAGTTGTTCGTTTGCTGTTATCTGCCCCAACTAGCTCCGCCTTCCCCGTTTCCGGGCTGGAATCGTGGTGTCCTTCCAACATCGCGGAAGCAGCAACACGAATGAGCGGACCAGACCAGACCATGCCAACGAACCAAATAATGAAAACAGCTCGGTACGGAGGATTTCAGATGCGGTAACGAAAGATACTTTGCCAATCGCGCTGGCAGTCGGGGTACACGTCAACAAAGTTGCGGTTGGAACAAGGCGGTTTGGGAAGACGAACCTGGTTTGGTGCCAGGCTTGGTGGTGGTTTGGGGAGGGTGAGGTGATGGAATACCACACACCAAGCATTCCTCCTTTTATAAAAGTCGGACCATAACTTCCCGTGCGCGTGTTTCCATCCAGTAGCTACAATTTTACTTGCTTTACTTCTTCTGGTATAACTAGTAGCAGGACTCCATGAATAGCACGCTACCATCGACATGCGAGGCTACCACTAGTGCAATCTGGACTATATATGCGTGCGATAGTACTGGCAAACTCATCACAAGGGCCACAATTCAGCTTTCGCGGCTGGGGGGATTAGTACGAATAAGCAAGGTTCGTGAGTGCTCCTTTAGTCTTCTCCACGAGCTCGTGCCATCGTCACGCGTACGGTACGCGCTTCACGCGTGAGTGGAAACCTCTCCGGATAAATACCGCTGGTGATACAGCCGCAGCAAACAACAGCAGACGGATTCGAGTGGCGCTACGAGAACCGCCGGAAGCGCACTGCCGCGGAGTTACGCCGTCAGCCATGGATGGTGTCAAGCTAAACCAAACAAGCGTGGAATTTCCTTGTGAGCAGTAATCAATCAGCGGTGGTGATATTGTCATGTTGTGTCACGCTGTGCCCTTCGTTGTCCCTCCGAGGGAACGAGTCGTTGTTGTCCGTCCTGTTCGTTTCCGCCGATGATAATCTCGCCGCATAGCTTCCCTCCTCTCTTATCACCGACTCATCTTCTTTTCCGTCCTCCCCTCTCCCCCTCTCCCCCGTCCTTGCGCACTTCCCCCCATCCGTCCCGCTTCCGCGTGCAGTCACGGTGGGCGCGGATCTGCATTCCACCCTTCAGATTGTCAACACCGCCACCAAGTCAAGAGCCATCCGGGTAAGCTTTTGATCGACTCAAAAGTAGTAAGCTTCGCGTCAGAGATTAACTACTACGTGCGCGCCGACGATCCAATAGTCCTCGTGCATTTCTGTCTGCGTTACTATCGGCCTCAACGTCAGAGAGGGTCAGGCCCAAACATCATCATTTATACACTCCCCCCTTTCGCCGCTTCTCTCCTCCCTTCCCCCACCCCCGCCGTTTCAGATCACGCCAGGGAGATCAAAAGAGTACGCGGTTGAGAGGGGGTGCACGATCCTGCTGCCGCCCAATGCATACGTGGAGAAAGGAGGTTAGCCGTAGGGGGCCGGCCTGTGCATGCATGCGTGTGCGCGTGCGAGTGCGAGTTGGAGTGCATGTGCGGGTGTGGGTGTGGGTGCATATGAGGCTACGTGCATGTGTGTGCTACAACATGGTTCAACGCGCGCTTCATGTCTTTTCGAATATTCTCTTCACCCCCCTTTGTTCCCTCTCCTGTTGCACTCATTCCCTCTCCACCTCTTCAATCTCTCCTGTCCCCCACCCCCACCCCCATCCACCCGAAATCCTCTCCCCCCCTTCCTTCTACTCCTCACGCTCAATACGCCTGTGCCTACACCCTCTTCCTCGTTAACACTCTCAATGCTCCATTGCCATTGCCCATGGCAGTGACATGCCCGGCCTTCCCCCGCAAGCCCTTCTGGTTCCCCTCCGACTCTTTCACCTTTGATGCCTTCGCCACAATCGAAGAGGTCAGCACTCTCGCTCCTGCTTTTGAGTCCCCTTTTTTGAGTTTTGAGTCGACTGTAAATTCAGCTCCCCCCCCCCCCCCCCCCCGCAAGCCCTTCTGGTTCCCATTCGGCTCTTTCACATTTGATGCCTTTGCAACGATCGAAGAGGTCAGCACTCAAGCTTCCCCAACGATTCAAAACGACACTGATTGATTGAGATGAGACGAGATCTTTCGTGGGCGTGCATGCGCTCGCTCACTACACTTTGTCTTTCCAGCTTCCGTCCATCCATTCGTCCGTCCTGCGTTCCTTTGTTTCACTCTCTTTCCTTCCCCCTCTCTCACTTCGCCTCTCCATACCATCTCTCCTCTCCCTCTCTCTCCTCCCGTACGCCTCTCTTTCCTTTCTTCACTCAACAGTTTTTCTCCCTGCTTCTCCATATTTCCTGCTCTACGTTCATCTGCCATCCATCTAATCATCTATTCATCTATCCATACATCCATCCAACCAGATGGACGATGCAGCACCCACAGCAGTCGGAACCCTAGGGAGACTCCAACTTCCGGTGACTTTCCCGGACGCGGGCTCCTCCTCCTCCTCCTCCTCCTCTTCCTCCTCTTCCTCCTCTTCCTCCTCTTCCCCCTCCGGCTCCTCTCTCTCTCACTCGCAGCGCGAGTGCCGGAAGCCCGGTCGAATCGAATGCTGCTGTCAAGGCAGCATTGGAAGAAGCAACAGGTCTCGGCGCGGGTGCATGGATGCGACGATCTACCAGCGACGCCTCTGCTGCTGCTGCTTATTCGGCTGTTATGACTGTCCCTGCTGGTGCTGCTGCTGCTGCTGCTGCTGCTGCTGCTGCTGCTCCCTGCGTACCCACACAAGGTGCGCAGAGTATGGAGCAGGGCTCTGTGGGGGCGATGAGGAGAAGAGGAGGAGGGGGGAGCAAAAAGCGCATGAGTATAACGTCTTTGTACCAGCAAGCTATGATGCCCGTGCAGCAGCCACAGCAGCAGCAACAACAGCAGGAAAAGGGGCAAGAACAGGTATCAGCGACCGTACAATCAGCAGCTGCAGCACCAGCAGCAACTACAGCTGCTGGAATCGAAGCGCCGCCATCAGCACCTTTACCAGCGGAAGCAACTGCTGCTGCTGCTGCTGCTGCTGCTGCTGTTGAAGACTCACAAGCGGAAGCAGCAGCAACAGGAGTCGGGGCAAATGGTACCAACAACGGCAGCGGCAACAGCAACGTCACCACCAGCGGCGGCGGCACCAGCAGCAGCACTGGTACCACCTGCGACGACGACGCTATAGCCTCGCTAGAAGCAAAGCTGGCAGCAGCAGAACGGGCAGTGGGAGAGCGAGAGAAGCTCCTCCTATCTCACCGCGAGGCGGTAGAATCCCTTTCTAAGAAGCTAGCCGAGCGCAACGAGATGCTCTATGCTGCCCGCGAGCGAGCCGCACAGCTGGCGGAAGATGTGAAACTCAGGGAGGATGCGATCAAGGCCATGGCGATATCCCAGGCGGAATCTCAGGTGAATTCTCAGGTGGAGGCGCAGGTGGACGCTCCGGGGAGCTTACTGTTCCCTGGGTCTCCTCCGAGAGGAAAAAAGGCCGTTGCTGCAGGAGCAGCAGCAGCAGCAGCAGCAGAGGCGGCGGCGGCGGCGGCGGCGGCAGCAGAGGCTGCGGAGGAGCGAGAGAAGGTGAAGCAGCGGTTGGAAGAAGCAGAGGAACGCGCAGAGCAGGCGGTGCGGGAGAGCAAGAGGCTGACTGCAGAGATAGCACGTCTCATGGCAGAGAGCCGCAGCAACCGGCAGCGATTGGACGAACTGGAGATGGAAAGGACGGTCCACCGGAGGGAGAAGGCGGCGTGGGAGGGCAGGGAGGCGGAGCGGCGCGAGGAGAAGGTGACGTGGAGGGAGGAGCGGGCGCGGTGGGAGGCGGAGCGAGCGGGGTTGCAGCGGCAGATGAGGGCGCTGAGAGCGGAGAAGGTGGAGCTGGAAGGGAAGTTTGGACAGCTGCACGCGGCGCTCTGTGAGGTACGTGGGCTGTGGGTGGGTATGTCTCTCTTTGAGTCGAGTCGGGAATTGTGTGAGGCGGTGCGGGCTGCGAGGCAGATGCGTGCGCTGAGGGCGGAGAAGGTGGAGATGGAAGGGAAGTTTGGACAGCTGCACGCGGCGTTCTGTGAGGTACGTGGTTGTATGTGCAGGTGGGGTTGTATGCTAGCTGTTGTATCTTCTTTCTGGCAGCAGGCCACCTGCACCCACAGATCTGTCTGCACTGTTTCGCAACCTTTTGCACCGTTGTTTACGCACATTCAACCCTGGTTCATGCCTTTCTACACCTTCCCACGCCTTTCCACACCATTTCAGATCGTTGTCCCTAGCCCACAAGTCCCTCCTCCGCTCTTCCACCTCTCCTCCCTCCCCTTTTGCTCTCCACAAATCGCAGGGGGGCCTATCTGAAACTTCCAACGTGTCCACTCTTACAGATGACTGTGATTCCTCCGATGCTGACTCAGCATCGAGCAGCGCGCATGCCACATCAGCAGAGTCAGGAGTTCGGTCTGTGGAGCAGACAGGGGAGTTGACTGAGTCAACGGGGTCAAACGAATTCAAGGGGCAAATTGAGAAGAGGGTGGGAGAGCAGGGGCAGGGGGAGGGTGAGGAGCAACAGCAGGAGCAGGAACAGGGGAGGGATGGGGAGACGGGCGGAGTAAAGAAGTCAGTGGCAGGGGTTCGGTGGGATATGCTGCGGTTGGTGGCAAGGCACAAGCAGGCTATGAGGGAGGTGGAAGAAGAGTTAAAGGAGAAAGATGAGAAAATCAGAGACCTTGGAAAGGCGATCTGTATGATTGAGGATAGGGAGGAGAAGAGAGAGGAAGAGAGGAGGAGAGAGGAGAGTGTGTTGAGGCTTCGATTGGAGGAGAAGGAGAGTGCAGTGCGGGAGAGGGAGGAGAGGGTGTGTGAGTGGGAGAGAATGGTGGAGGAGAGGGAGGAGGAGGCGCGAGTGTGGGAGTGTAAGGTGGTGGAGCGAGAGGGGAGTGTGCTGCAGAGGGAGGAGAGAGTGAGGGAGGAGGAGGGGAGGTTGCGGCAATGGGAGGATAGGTTGCAGGAGAGGGGTGGGAGGGTGGAGGAGTTGGAAGGGGAGGTGGAGAGGTTGAGAGCGGTGGTGAGGGAGAGGACGGAGGAAGGCGCTGCTATGCAACAGGCCATGGAGCGATTGCAGATGCAGCTGATTAACTCGGGAGAGGCAGCACAAGCACACTCCTTAGAACCCCAGATGAAGGTGCAGATGCAGGGACTCTCCCCTATGCACCACCTCTCCTTGCAAGCAGACCCACCATCAGGCACAGGCCATGCCAACGGCAGTGTTGCTGCTGCTTATGCCCACGCCTCTGCCTATGGCGATGGCAAAGGAAGCGGGGATGGGAATGGTGGCAGTAGCTACGCGGAAGGATTGGGGGATGGGAAGGACTTGTGCGGCAAGCAAGGGGGAGATGCGCAGCCCGCTGTAAGCATCGTTGTTTTGGGTTGGGTTGGGTTGGGTTGGGTTGGGCTGGGCTGGGTTGTGCTGTGCTGTGCTGTGCTGTGCTGTGCTGTGCTGTGCTGTGCTGTGCTGTGCTGTGCTGTGCTGTGCTGTGCTGTGCTGTGCTGTGCTGTGCTGTGCTGTGCTGTGCTGTGCTGTGCTGTGCTGTTTTGTTCTGTGTTGTGCTGTGCTGTGTTGTGTTGTGTTGATCGTCTGTGTCCCTGTGCTGGCTGGCTGGCTGGTTGGTGGTTGGTTGGTTGGTTGGTTGGAGAAGCAGGAGCAGCAGCTTTGGAGACATCTCTAAGACTTTTTTCCTCTTCTCCCATCTCCCTCGTGCCCTTATTCCCCTGCAGCCCGGCACGTGGCAGTGGGAGAAGCAGGCGCTGCTGTTCCAGGTGCAGTCGCTGCAGCTGCTGCTGCAAGATGCCAGGGAGCTGCTGCGACGAGAGAGATACCTGCGGCAACAGGTGAGGCTGGGAGGGGCTGTGGCGTATTTTTTAATGCAAAATCAGGTGCAGTCGCTGCAGCTGCTGCTGCAAGGTGCCAGGGAGCTGCTGCGACGGGAGAGATACCTGCGGCAACAGGTGAGGCTGGGACAGGAGCTGGAGCGGGATGGGGTGGGGTGGGGTGGGTTAGGGTGGGATGGGATGGGATGGGATGGGTTGGGATGGAGATGGGGGATGGTACACGGAATTATAGGGCGCTGTAGATGTTCAAAGGATATTTTGGTCGACTCGAGAGCAGGAAATGGGTGATCAGTGTTGGAAGCTACTTCGTAGGTCGTGACGTGAATGGCGTGTGGACGTGGTCTGCCGTGGTTATACTTACTCATTCCTTACCGGGTGTTTGTTTGTTTGTTGGTTTGTTTGTTTGTTTGTTTGTTTTGTTCGGCTGATGTTCCTGTTTCCACTAATCTGTTTGGGCTTGTGTTGATGACCCACCCATGCAATGCAGGCCAACATGCAGGCGGAGAGGGCAGCTGCAGGCCGCATGCCCCTCTCTCACCACCGCAGCCACCGCTACACGGAGCAGCATCAGCATCAGCAGCAGGTTCTTCAGCAGCAGCAGCAGCAGCAGCCAGAATTGCACATAGCACGTACTGCCGGTTTACCTGTGGACAAAGGCATTCATCCCCACATGGGGGGCCATGCTGGTGCGGCTGGTTGCATGTACACTAGGATGGCATACCCGGGTGATATGCGAGGTGTGACTGAGCACTTGCTTCCTCCTATAATTTCAAAGGACAGTCAAAGCCGTTTGTCGCCAGTGCATATAACGGAGCAGGAGTTGCAGCAGCAGCAGATGCAGCAGATGCAGTATCAGTGGTCACAGCAGCAGCAGCAGAAGGGGCAGGAGCAGGAGCAGTGGCGTGCGTTTTTGTCACATGTTCACCACCAAGGCGTTACTTCACCGAGTGTTCACACATGAGCCACCACGTTACTTCCATGTTGTCTCAAATTGACTTTTGGGACGTTTCCGAAGACAGCAGCAGCTGTGGCAAGTGTGTCTGTTGCATGTTCACAGAGTGCCAGTCCTTGTGTGCAATAATCTTGTGCTGTCAGTGTGATTTTGTTCTTCTCATTTTTTAGCTTGTGTGTTTCCCTGTGTGGTTTTCTTGTGTGCTACAAATTATGAAAAAAAGTCATACAGGTGATAGAGAATTCCTGACTATGAAAGCACTGTTTTGTTAAATTCACAGAAAGTTTAGGTGACACAATCTGTCGGATTAGAAATGAGGCCATGCTTCCTTGTCCCCGTCACATGCACCATCACGGTGAAAAAGTGCCAGAGTAAGTCTGCCGCCTTGCCATCAGCAACATCATTGCCACAGCCAGGGTTTACATCAGGGCTGTCGCTTGCCCTGGCCGAAGAACTTAGCGGGCTGAGGTGTCCTAATTTCAGCCCTTAATTTTCCGGGTTGAGTCCAATTTCAACACTTAGATTCAGGGCTACACATCCTTCTGCACTTGAACGTAAACACATCGTGGAAGTAGGTTGATGTTCAAATACACCTAAGGGCTTCGGTACATAGCAGATACATAACCGAATCTTCAATGGAACGGGGGGACCAGTAGGTGAGGATGTTTTACGTAAGCAGGGAATGAATAACAAGGGGACGAGGGGGTAGGGGGAAGGGGAAGGGCTCTGAACGTATACGTGAAATCCGGGTTAGGAGCTCAGCCAGCGCTTAAGGAAAAAGGGCTGGCCTCAAAGCCAGCACTTGAATTCTCTGAGTTGGGCTCAAAAAAGCCCGTGAATTCAAGGACAAAAAGGGCAAATGCCCTTGTAGCGACAGCCCTGGTTTACATCCCTACCCCATGCTAGCACCGCAACTGCAACCAGCTCACAGTCTGATTCAGCAAGCTCCTTTAACCGTGAGAAGCAGCAGCAGCAGCAACAGCAGCAGCAGCGGCAGCAGCAGCAACAGCAGTAGCAGCAACAGCAGCAGCACCACCACCACCACAAGCACAATCGGCACCAGCAGCATCAGCAGGAGCAGCAGTACTAGCAGGGGCAGCGGCAGGAAGAGCCGCAGCACTCGCACCAAGTGAAAGGACACTGGCGCTGAGCTTGAACGAGGCTAGCAGCCTGCTGCAGTGCGCTCTTATCAGCTGCTCGTTGATGGCACGCGAGGCGGCTCCAGGCGGGGCTGCTGCTGCTGATGATAGCTGGGAAGCCTGGGGCTTGAGAGCAAAGAAGGCTGACTCCTGCTCCTGGGCTGATTCCTGTAGGAGGATGAGGTGATGCGGCGAGGAAAGAGGGGAGGAAGGCACGAAGAAAATGTGATGAGGAATTTGCGAGGTGTTAGCAGAAACTACAGATAGCAACTACAGTCACAGGCTGACAAAGAAGAGTAATGATAATAATGGATATCAAATGAACAAAGGCAAAGCACCACCCAGAGACCCATCCCCAATGAATCAGGGCCAGCCAGAAGCTCACCAATAAATCACGTTTAAACTCAGATATAGTTCACCAATAAATCACGTTTAAACTCAGATATTGCTCACCAGTAAATCCAGCACTTGCTTTCTCTTCTCCTCTTCCCTTTCCGCCTCTTCGTCCCCCTCCTTGCCCCTCCCAAACAACATCTCCACATCCCCCCGCTTCAGTGCCTTCTCAATAGGCCGTAAGTACACTCCCCTCCCAGCCCTCCTCCTCCGCACCCCAAACCCAAGCACTCCACCGAACCCATCCGCACCGCCCTCCCCACCCGCACTCCTCCCCACCCCTGCACCGCCCCCCTCCCCAAAATCCATAGTCAGCAAATCAGGTATCATCTGCCCTGCTCGGGACCTAGCGGCATGGTTAGTCGCTTCCCTGAGAAGGAGCACGCTGGGGGGAGGGAGGTAGGGCGCGAGGCAGGGGCTACAGGCAGACGGCGGGATGAGGGCGCAGGAGCGGGAGCGAGGGGAGAGAGGCGGGCATGCAGGGGCGGGTCGAGGCTTCGGCTTTGGTTTGTGGGCTGCAGCGTTGGGAGAACCAGCAGCGGCAGCTGCAGTGAGAGGAGGTGGGCGGACGGAGGAAGGAGGGATCGGTCGAGAGGATTCGGGGTGATAGAGTCCCACACCAGATGGTGATGGTTTGCTCCGTCCCATGCCACCATTCCCTGATATGGCTCCTCTTCTACCCCCCATGCCTCTTCCTCGTAGGCCCATCCCCCTCCCAAACGCGCCGCCAGGAAACCGACCTCCCTCCCCTCCCCCTCTCCCTTCTCCCTCTCTCCCTCCTCTGCCTCTCCCCCTTCCCCTTCCCCTCCCCCACCCGCCTCCCACTTCCTGTTGCGCCGACGCCTTCCTCCTTTGCTGCTTCTCCTTCTTTGCAGCTTGTTGGATTCGCCATGCACGCGCCGCAGCAGCAGCTGCAGCGGCAACGGCGGCGGCGGTTGCAGCGTCGCCATCAGCGTCAGCAGCACTGGCGGCAAGATCATCTGGAAGACAGGAGACCACATCTGGGTAATACTCTGCACTCTGATCCTCCCTCGCTTTCTTCTTCTTCCTCCTTCGCCGCATTGCCTCTCTCGCCTCTCTCTCCTCCTCTCCCTCCTCTCCCTCCTCTCCCTCCTCTCCCTCCTCTCCTCTCTCTCCTTCTCCATCCCCTTCCCCCACTCCTCCCTCCTCCATCTCCCTCCTCCGCCTCCTCCTCCTCCTTCGCTTCGGCCCCTCGCCCATACCACCAACATCAACATCACCACCATCAATACCCTTCCCTTCCTGTGCCATCACTGCACGCATAGCCTTCCTACATCCTGGACACTGAGAGCCATGGAAATACCGTCCCACCACCCACCCACACCGACCAGAACCATCCCCCCCTGCTCTCACCCATCCCTCCTCCCCATCCCCCAAATCCCTCTCGCCCTGCCCCTCTCCAACTCCCTCTCCCACTCCCTCCCATTCGCCTCCTCGTTCTCCTCCCTCCCCCCCATCCACATCAATTATAGGACTAAACAAACTCTTCGGAAGCCCAGCTCTTTTTACTCGTGGTTTTCTTGCCTTTCTCGTCAGTCCTCTAGCCTTAATCGCACCTCCCTCCCCTACCTGTCCTCCCTCTTCTCCCTCCCGTATCCTTTCTGCTCCTTCCCCCTCTTGCCCTTCGTACCCCCCTCCATCAGACATACCTACACCTTCTCCTCCCTCCTCCTCATCCCCATCTTGTGTCAAGTCAGCAACCGAACCCCCCTCCTCCTCCAGTTCCTCCTCCCACCCCTCAGAATCGTTCTCAATCCACTCCTGCCACTCCTCTGCTCCATACCCCTCTCCTTCTCCTCCTCGCGAAACCCAAACCTCCTCCTCCTCCTCCTCCTCCTGCTCCTCCTGCTCCTCTCCTGCCTTTGCGTTCCCTTCCGCATCCCCATCCTTACTCCCGCCCTTCCCCACTTTCCGACCTCCCCCTTTTCTGTCTGAGAGCTCTGCTTTCCTCATCCCCTTCCCCTCCACTTTCCCCTCTTTCCCAGCCTCCTCGGCCCCTTCTCCCCTCTCCCTACCACCGATCCCCTCTTTCTCTTCACCCTCCTGCCTGTCTCCTTCCTCCCGATCCTGCTCCTCTTCTCCTTCTTCTTCCTCCTCTCCCTCCTCTTCCTCCTCCTCGTCATCATACTCGCTCTCCTCTGAACTTGAATCATACAGAGGCACGTCCTCCACTTCAAAGCTAGTGATGATAAAGTACAGATACCGAGAGAGGGGCGAAACGGAAGGGGAAAAAAAGGACGGTGGGGGTGGGAGGGGAAAGAAGGGAATCAGGGGTGAGAAAGTGAAGTGGGATTGGGGGCGACACAGGAGTAATCAAGGCAGGGGCGAATTCGTACATGTTGATTGAGTGAGCACACGTGGGTGAGAAAACGAGAATGCGAGGAGGTGAGGGGGTGGGGAACATAAAGCAACTGAAAGACTGTCGAGGAAACAGAAGAACACACAGGGATTTCTTTCCTTTTATTTAGAATTCTCAAAAGCGAAGAGGAAATGAAGAGCGTCATGAGAAGTTCGAAGACCCAGGAGGAACCGTGAGTAATCGCAAGCACTCGCGAGGATTCAGGAACAATCTGGATTCAGATAGAAGGACTCACCGGTGAAGAATCTGAAGGACTCACGCTTGTTCCTGGTATCACGAACGAGGATTCAGATTCTACAATCGGTGGGTAGAAGGACTCACCGACCGTCGTCGTCCACCCAGAGGTATGTATCTTCCTGGTTCGATCACAGCAGGAGGAGGGGGGTAGAACAGGCACGCACATACACCAGCACGAAGTGGGGTTGCGCGCACGGTTCAGTGCAAAAGTGTTTCACGTAGAATGAAAATGTGCAAAGAAGCAAGGAAGGGAGCAAACTAGAGGCTGAGATGTGTTATGAGTCGACCCACAACGGGTTTCGAGTGAAAAGATGCAAGGATCTGGCGAAGCCCTAGGTTTGCAAAGAAGCAAGAGCACTACCAGTCAAGAATCTAGAAACTAGAAATACCCGTGGAATCAAAAAGAGAGGAAAACTAGAAACTCAAATAGCACAAGTTGCCTACCTGAAAGGCTCGGGACTTGGCTCCAAGGAAGCCAACGCAGGCAGCAGCCCCGCAGCGGCACTTGACCTTGTCGCCCCCGTAACCACTCGTAGTCATAATCGTATGTCAGCTCACAGCCCGGCACACACACAAGCGTGCACAGGCACACGCACGCGCTCGCGAGCACACACACAAGCTCAGATACAGACACAAGCCCGCGCGCGCGCACACACACAAATTCGCACAGAACCGGCAGAGTCTTTATACCTGAAAGGCCCGAGACTTGGCTCCAAGAAATCCAACACAGGCAGCGGCCCCGCAGCGGCACTTGACCTTGTCGCCCCCGTACCACTCGTAGTCATAATCGTATGTGAGCTCACAGCCCGGCACACACACAAGCGTGCACAGGCACACGCACGCGCTCGCGAGCACACACACAAGCTCAGATACAGACACAAGCCCGCGCGCGCGCACACACACAAATTCGCACAGAACCGGCAGAGTCTTTATACCTGAAAGGCCCGAGACTTGGCTCCAAGAAATCCAACACAGGCAGCGGCCCCGCAGCGGCACTTGACCTTGTCGCCCCCGTACCACTCGTAGTCATAATCGTATGTGAGCTCACAGCCCGGCTCGATGTCCTTGCGCGCGAATATGCCCACTCGGATCTCCCCCAACACCGTCCACTTGCGCGTCTCACAGTTGGGATCGCTGCGATACAAAAAGGCAAGACGGGAGGAGGAGGGGAGGGTGAGGGGATTGAAAGTCTTCTGAAGCATATGCCCCTTTTTTTCCCTTGACTCGGAAGAAGTGGAGGGAGGAGGGGAGGGAGTTTCGGTCTTTGATGCGCCAGAGAAGTAGTAGTGATGTATGTGCGCTTGCAGCTCACAGCCCGGCTCGATGTCCTTGCGCGCGAACATGCCCACTCGGATCTCCCCCAACACTGTCCACTTGCGCGTCTCACAGTTGGGATCGCTGCGAGATGAGAAGGGAGGGGGAGGGGGGGAGGAGGTGAAGGAAATTTGGTGTACTTGGATTAAAATTGACAGGAAAAAAACTCGGGAGAAGCGGCAGAGGCAGTCAAAAATGGAATTCCAACAGGAAAAAAAAGGGGCGGGGAGAGAGAGAATCTAAAAGGGTACGCAAGTGGACACACGCACCAGGAGTGGTTGACGAATCTGGCAGCAGCGCCCATCTTAGTGGGGTCGATGACCTCCCTCGCGTTCAGCTTCAGGAGATACACGTTCTTCTCACCTGCGTGGGGAGGCGAGGGACACAGGAGGACAGGACGCGCGCATGGCGATGGTGGGGATGCGGAGAGACAGACAGAGGAGAGGATGAGGTAATGAAGTAGAGGAAGGGGTTGGGTGGGGTGGTTGGGGTGGTTGGGGGGGGGGAGGGAGGGAGGACACTGAGTGGGTTTTGAGAATTCTCAAAAACCAGGAGGGAGGACACGTGAGTGTGAGTGCGGGCTGTGACTGCAACTTTCTTTTCTTGGAGTGTGAGTCCATCCGGCGCAAGAATAGCGAAGGAAGTTGCAGTGCAGTAAGTTACAGAGCACACGCTGCCAGAGGCATAGCACGAGAATTGTGTCAGAAACTCAAGACGGGTACCTTGCGAGATCCGGACATGGCTCAGTGAGCTGCGTGCGTGCAGTAGGCTTAAGCAAAGGAAAAAACAGCAGTAAAATTCCGCTCTATGTACAACTAAGTGCTCAGAACGATCTTAGAACCCAAATTCTTAGCAGTAGAGTAAAACAGGGACAAACATGTTTCGGTCTATTACGGGGGAAAGGCCCGATCAGACCTTCATCAGTGCCAACAATGAGAAAGAAGGGCTAAGCAATGCCTCTAAAGAGAAGCAAGGCCTCTAAGAAAGCGAACTCTAGGCTATCCACACCCAGGTCACCCAAATGACGGGGACCAATCCAGACCACCCTCGAAAACTTCAGGCAGCCACGTCTTCAACTTCCTCGAGAGTGTCAGCGTGAAGGGTTGGGTTCAGATTTTCGCCAAGGGGCAACTTCGGAAGTCGCGCGCGCACCAGTAACCTCTGAAGGTTACAACCAATTTTCCACGCAACAAACATTTTCTCCACGTATAACCCGCGTGTGATGAGTCGATTTTTAAGTCGACTTAAAAATCGACTCATCACACGTGAGTGTGAGTGCGGGCTGTGACTGCAACTTTCTTTTCTTGGAGTGTGAGTCCATACGGAGCAAGAATAGCGAAGGAAGTTGCAGTGCAGTAAGTTACAGAGCACACGCTGCCAGAGGCATAGCACGAGAATTGTGTCAGAAACTCAAGACGGGTACCTTGCTTTGCAGCAGCCTGTGAAGGGGGAGGTGGATGCATAAGCGCAGACAAGGCAAGCAGGTAGGTGGCTGGGCGGGCTGGCAAGCAGGCAAGCAGGCAAAGGCAGGTACCTGCAGCTAGGTACGCAGCATGGCGCCTCTGCGCTTCCTTGTTCGGTACGACCTCCCCACAGTACTCTATCACAAACTGCCCTGCCTGCACGTTAGCATGCACGAAAGCACACGAAAGAGTGGGGCGTGTGTAGGTGATGCAGTGTAAACACGGAGAGGCAGACAAGCACACATGTACAGACTCCTTGTTCGGTACGACCTCCCCACAGTACTCTATCACAAACTACCCTGCCTGCATGGGCGTGCACACGAGGGAGTGGGGGGATGGAGGAATGGGGGGATGGAGGGTTTTAGTGACACAATCAGACTCATAGTTAGGTACCACCTCCTAACAGTACTCTTTCACAAACTGCCCTGTGCCCTGCCTGCATGGGCATGCACAGAATTCGAGGGGATGCGGGGGGAGCAGGGTTACATACAGAGAAACAGACAGAACTTGGAGCAATAGTGAGCGCTTGGAGCAATACAGAGCATACAAGAAAACACTCAAAGAGAGGGTCCCAAAACAGGAAAGGCAAGCGAAGCAAGGCGCGCGCATGCACACACACACACACCTTGATGGGCTCCGCAGCCACAAGGCCCCAGCCTCGACCCTTGACCTTCTTCACAACTGTGCGCGCATGCTCACAGCGCTGGAATCGCTGCTCTCAAATGCAACCGGATGCACACGCACGAGCATGCACATGGACAGGCAGGCAGGCAGGCAGGCAGGCAAGCAGGCAGGCAGGCAGGCAGGCAGGCAGGCACGCAGGCAGGCAGGCAGGCAGGCAGGCACGCAGGCAGGCAGGCAGGCAGGCAGGCAGGCAGGCAGGCAGGCAGGCAGGCTGGCAGGGGGCAAGGAGGCAGGGAGGGAGAAAAAATATTGATGGTGGGAAGGGATGACGGTGTGGAGAGGAGAGAACAGTAGGAGAGTGGAGAACCGATCGACAGAGGATGCACGGTAGCACATACACACGCTCCTCCACCCCCCCCCCCCACTTTCACACACACACACACACACACACACATAGTGCTGGTTACATTTGGAAACCTTCGAAACATCTAAACACACCATCGACCTGATTAGATCATGAAAGCTCGCAAACATCAACTAGTTGTATCGTATGGTGGACCTGGTTCTGACAGGCGTCCCCACAAGGGCAGAAGCCCGGAGTGCACTCGGTGCATGACACAACCCATGCGCACACACTCCCACACACACGCACACACTCCCACACACTCCCACACACTCCCACACACACGCAAACACACAGCCACACAGCCTCCCACGGACCTGGTTCTGACAGGCGTCCCCGCAGGGGCAGAAGCCCGGGGTACACTCGGTGCAGAGCAGCGCGTTGAGACACGAGTCCACGTGGCACCCCACCGCGCCTGAGGAGGGCGCGGGGGGCTCGCACTCACACACCGCCACGTCATCGTTCTTCACCTGCTTCGGCCTGGGGTGGACGGAGGGGAGTCGGAGGGATAGGTGGGTTCAAGGGGCTGAATTTTGAGTTTTGAGTTTGATTTGAGTAGGTATCCCACTCACACACCGCCACGTCATCGTTCTTCACCTGCTTCGGACTGGGGTGGAGACGGGGGGATGGGTTGCAGGGGACAGGACAGGGGTTGGGAGGGATTGGTGATGGTGAAAGAGAGAGCGAGGAGGAAGGAGATGGTGGGTGGGAGAAAGAAGGAGTGGATGCGTGGAGAGAGGAGGTGGGTGGGCGGGAGAAGGGGGGAAGGAGGGAGGGGAAAGAGGGAGGCTGGAAAAGCTGTACGTGGAATAAACGACAGTCTAACATGAGTTCTAGTCATCGGGTAGCTATGCAATGCGGCTAGTTAGCCATTGAGCCAAGCTAAGCTTTGTTTCAGACACAACCAGCCAACTGCCAGGCCAAGCTATGCATACCGGCGAGATCTGTAGAAGTTCTGACTGAGAAGAATGAATGGCGGAGGCTGTTCGTCCCCTTCCACCACCTGTTGTACCCAGCCGTTGTAGCAAGGCATGGTATGGCATGGCATGGCATGGGAGAGCACGGGATGTCATGGGGATGCGCCATGGCGTCATGGATGGGGCATGACAGGCACGGAATGGTGGCAGATGATTCAAAGAGACGCGTAAATTGTTTAGAACGACACTTGGCATGAGACAGGCCGTGGTGCAATTCAAGAGAACACTCAAAGGACGTGAACTCCTGACGCCAGATCAAGACGCTCATTGATTGACTTTATTCATACACAGGGCCTTTCCGTACGCACCAGCTCGACTTTCCGTTTTCGCGGTTTACTAGCGCCATTTCCCTCTGTTGCAACCGCTGCCGGTTCCGCCGGTTCGGCCGCCGCCGCCGCCGCCGCTGCAGCTGCTGTCGCCGCTGCGGCCGTCACCGCCGCCACTGCTGCCGCTTCGCCTGCGACTGCGGGCGCGATGGGTTCAAGGGGTGGTGGTTCGTCGAGGAGGCGGGATTCGGGAGGTAACTCCGAACCTAATTCCGAGGCTTGTTCCGAACGTACGGCGTCGCCAGCTGCCTCAACCGCTGCTTCGAGGTCAGACTCGGCAAGAGCAGAGTCCTTCGCGCCATCGTCGCTCTCCATATCCAGCGACGTGACACAAACGAACAAGCGAAAGAGAGGCTTTGGGAACTATCCGAGCAGTTAGCACAGGGTATTTTCAGTAGTTGCGGATGATTTGGGGCCTAGGGAATAGTTGCGGGACGACGCCTGTTAATCCTTTCTAAAAGCGAGAATCAAAACGAGGAGGAAAAGGCACACATACAGTGTTTCTAAAATTATGTATCAGTGAACGTTTTTTAAAATATATTATCTCACATATTTTATGTCTTAAAATAAATCAAGCATAAATTATAGTTCTAATATTAACAGGGACATGATTTAAAAGGATGAATTTTGTCTCAAATACTAGTGAAATAAGCCATAATTACTGTACGTAGAGTTCCTTAAAGAATTATTCTATTTCAAACGAGTTCCACCACCGCCACATGCCACGGGGGCCAGCCCTACGTGCTTCGCTGTGGAGCTTGACGTTACACAAGCAACAGTTTCTTCGCAGCTGTCCTCCAACGAGAAGCTTTGCTGCGCCGAGGCGCTGTTAGCAACCCACCCACCAAACCAGAACAGTTGCCAGGCCAGGTCAGGCCAGACCGAGGCATCCCATTTGTGGAGCGCTTCCCGCCAACTGAAACCGTTGTCTCCCTTCACAACACAGCACTCCCATTTGCTCCCTCGAATTCCTCGTCTTGGTGTTGACGGGACGGGGTAATTCAACGCACAGTTGTTTGCGCTTCTTCTCGATAACCTACTCAATACTGGCTCCTACGTTTCTCGAGATTTGTTTGCCGCATTATCAGTCAGCGGGGAGGGGGGTATGGAGTCGCAGGCAATGTAAATCAGACGCCTTGCTTTTCGACTTGTTAGGGTATGTCAACAGTACTTGCGCTATCTTCTCAAGTTGATACGACAGCCAGATGTAACAACACATGACATCCATTTCACTCAGAAGTACTAAAGCGAAATGGTACGTCTTGTTAGCCTTCCTAGGTTGGCTCTAGCTCATAAATTCCCATATTTCTCTTTCGCGCATGTTTCAGTTTCCGTGCCGAATCCCCCTGCTCTTCCCTCCACTCCCTTCGTCCTCTCACCGTGTCTCGCCGCTTTCTTTGTTTCTCTGCGCAAATTTCCCAGCCCTAAAGACTTTCCAGTCGCGCCGGTCGTTGTGCCTACTTCCCTTCTCTTCTTCCCTTATTTCTTGGTGTCTTTCCTTCCCAGTTCCACCCATGACGGCCTGCCTCTCTTCTCTTCTTTTTTCTCCTATCGTCCCCCTTCTTCCCCGATCCGCCAGCGCGTCCCGTAGCAAGTGACAGGTAGAGGGTGCTCGAAACCCTAGCTTTTCGTAACCGTGCAATTTCACCTGGCTGCCATGAACCGGCGGTGGACGGAGTTCTTTTAGCAGCTTCTCAGTAACTCAGATATTTAGCACACAGAGGGTGCTTGTAGCTGGAGTCGCGTTGTCTTGACGACTCCTTATAAGACATTTTAAAATCACGGGAGCAGCAGGTCCTATAGCGATTTGTGCCGAGGGTGTCGATGCCTGTAGCGCGAGCAGTACGGTGACGGTACGAATCCAGGTGCACGTGGCTCTTTGTGACCGGCGGCAGCTTCGGCAGCAGCTTCGCCAGCAGCTTCGGCAGCAGCTTCGGCGGCAACTTCAGGGGCAGCTTCGGCGGCAACTTCAGGGGCAGCTTCGGCGGCAGCCTCGACGGCAGCGAGTATGGCGGGGGTGATAAACATGGCTGCGGTGACGCGGCCTGTGGAGGTGGATAACAACCTCTCGCTGCGAATGTACCTGCGACTGGCCAAGAACTTACAGCACCAGGTCAGTGCCTATGTGCTTAGGCTAGCACATCAGCACATGCATACACGTCGCTCGAGCGGTGATGAATAAGGGATGAGGAGATTTTGAAGCACGCTCTACGATGGCCTGTGTGCCTATGTGCTTTGTTTTTCTTGCGATTTCTCCTTTGCGCGTACGTACTGGACTCGTCACTCTCTCCCCTTGTAGAAGCTCTTCCTTACGTCCGCCCAACTCTACTCACGCCCTTCTCCCTGCTCCGCTATTACGCGCGTTTTGATTGAGTCAACTCAAAATTCATTTCCTCGTTTTGTCCGTCCGGTTCCTCCCTTCTCCCTTCCCCACCATCGCTCGTTGGCAACTAACAGGCTGACGTGTACCGCTGCGAGGGCAACAAGCTCCAGCTCTACGTGCTCCTCATCCGATTCATCAGGTAATAGCACTCCCTTTTCCCTTCCCAAGCCCTCTCATCTTGCCTGCGCAAATAACATAGCGGGCTTGCTTTTCCCTTGTCCGATCCTCTGCATCGTGCTGCCTCCTCTTCCCCTTCCCTCCCTCCCTCCGTCTTCAAGTTTTTTTGTCACCGTTTCCTTCTTTTCCTCCTCTTCTTCTTCCCCATGACTTCCCCTCCCTGCTCCTCACCAATTGCCCATCGTTTTTTCCTATAACCCATTCACCCGTACTGCTATCATCTTGTGCCGTGCCGTGTATAACCTGTTGACGAGCCCTTTGACGTCTCAAAGCTTTTTCCGTTCGCCTCTTTGCCTGTTTGCCTGTTCGCCTGTTTGACTGCTCGCCTGTTCGCCTGTGTTACGGTTCCCCTGTCCCATGCACACAGCCTCGTGACAACCACCATCCCACAGCACAGGTAGTACCGCGGCCAATCGCAACTGTTCGCTCTCACCAGTCTAAGAAAAACGTCTTTCCTGTTCGCCTGTTCACCTGTTCTCCCGGACTTCCGTTTTCCTTTCCCGTGCACAGCCTGGTGACAACCACTATACCACAGCACAAGGAGTACCGCGGCCAATCGCACCTGCTCGCTCTCACCAGCCTCAAACGGGTCAGTCAACCCGCGCCCTCTCACCTGTGCCCCTGCCAGCCGACCCTCTTTTCCGCACTCAATTTCATGAGCGTACTCTTTCTCTGGCCATGTCTCTGCCTCCGCTCCTTGCTCTGCCCTGGCAGCACTGGACGAGTGCGAGCAGCTGAAGCCAGCTACAGGCTTCCCCTCCCCCCCTTTTTTTTTAACTCACCCTTCCTTCTTTCCTGACCATTCTCCCCCCTTATCCCCGGGCAGCAAGCCCTGGAAGCACTGGACGAGTGCGAGCAGCTGAAGCCAGCAGTGGCTCGCCTCAACGGCACGAGCCTGCTCTCCTTCGAGGAGGATTACCCTCCAGAGGAGGACGGCGTTGTCCCCGTCTACTTCCCCACCTCCCCGCCCCGCCGCCCCTCCTCCCTCGCCTCCTTCTCCTCCTTCTCCTCCTCCGCCTCTCCCCTCTCCTCCACCACTTCGCCTTTCCCGGAATCGTTCTCCTCATATGCCTTCGCCTCCTCCTCTTCAACTGCCCCATCTTTGTTTGCGTCACGTGCCAGTTGGCCGGGGTATGGGCCTAGCAGCATGGACAACAGTGCTGGTTCCGGTGGTGTGGTTGCTGTGGACAGTGGCAGTGGCTTCTACAGCAGCTATGGGAGCAACGGGAGCAATGGGTTTACTGCTGATCTTGGTGGCTATAACGGTGGTGGCTACAGCAGTAGCAGCAGCAGCAGCAACGGTAGTGGTGCTGTGTTGGCGGGGTATGGAGCAACAGGGGCGCTGAGCTTGGGAATGGATCTAGACGAGTGGGCTCAGTCTCTGGTAAGTCCTTCTCGATGCTAATCTGCACCACACCACCGTCTTGTTGGCCATTCTGCTATTCATCCCCCCGTATTTCTCCAGTCAGTCTCCCTCTCGGCCCCTTCTCATCCCCCCCCCCCCCCCCCCCCCCCCCCCCCCCCCCTCCCAACCCTTTTGGTTCTTTTCTTTTCTTCTCTCCTTTGGCCTTCGCTCTGCTTCTCTCGTTCAACAGACGCAGCCTCAGCAAGGGCAGGAGGCAGCCCTATCTGTCGCCGCTCCCAGCACCACTTCCTCTTGGTCAAATCCGGCTGCTTCAACAACCTTGTTGGAGCAACAACAATACCCTCAGCAGCAGCAGCAGCAACCTTTTTCTTATCAGCAGCAGCAGCAGCAGCAGCAGCAACAGCAGCAGTGGTATCAGCCTCAGAGCAGCACCAGCATGGATCTGCTATCCGGAATAGGCTCTCTCTCTCTAACCACTGCTGCACTGCCTGTCGTAGCGTCTGCTGCCACTGTCGCATCTTCCATTGCTCGCCCTCTCACACTGCCGTCATCATAGTGAGTATATTCTCCTTCTCCACATCCCTCCTCTTTTTTCCGTTACTGCTCTCATTTCCGCAACCCCACACAATCCCTCCACTTCCCCACTCTCCTTCACCCCCTACACAGGCTTTGATCTTCGTGAAACTTTCTTTTTTTTCTTTTATTTTTCCATTGCCCAGCTCTGAAACTTTAACCTCTTTCTTTCCCCGCCTCCTCCTACCCCCACCCATCCCCACCCTCCCACACCACTTTAAACTTCCGCTAACCCTCCTATCCACACCCGCAGCGGTAGCAGCTCGTTCTCTCTCCCCCAGCCGCGCAGTGAGGCCCTGTCTCGCCACTCCCTCGTTTCCTTCCCAACCTCCGCTCCTCGCCAACGAGCCTTGGCTTCTGTCCAGGTGACTGCCCCACATGACTCGCTACTTTGTGTGCCATTCTAACGAAGTTACGTCTGAGTCGACTTAAAAGGCAGGTGACTACCCCACGTGACTCGGTATCCATCTTTTACGCATGCAAATACTTGGTCACCTCTCTTCCACTCTCATGCACTGGAGCAATCATCTTGTACTTTCCTGCCTCTTCTCCTCACGTCCATTCCCTGCCTCCTTGCGTCTTCCTCCTTCCTTGTTTCATCGCCTGTGCTGTGTGCAGGTGTCATATCCTACCAAGATTGACACAACCCCTATAGAACTTCCAGAGTATGTTACTCTTTGCTGTTCTTGTACTTTCTCCCTCCTTCTGTCTCTTCCTCCCTCCCTCCCTTCTCGCTGTCTAACCCCTGCACTACTTCACTCTCTTCGCTTGGTCCAAACCCTAAACCCTCAATTGCACTCCCTGTTCACGCCTCCTGCCTTCCCAACACAGCCTTCTATTATGGCCAGAGAAACCAGCACCAACAGCAGCAGCAGCAGCAGCAGCAGCAAGATGCAGCATCAACAGCAGCAGTCAACCGAAACACCGTCGACAGTTCGTCTGCTGTCTCTGTAGAAACAGAAAGGGATCTTCGGGCAGACTCCACAGCCACAGGAGCACCATCAGCGGCACCATCAACGACCGCACCGACAGAGACAGCAGCAGCTTCAGGTGCTGTGTCAGGTTCTGGTTCAGGTGCCGGTTCAGGGACAGGAGGAGCAGCAGCGCCAGCAGAGCCCCTTCATACTCCTGCTGGAAACGGCGCCTCGGCTACTCAACCATCTTCTGCTCCTGCTGCTGCGGCTGCTGCTGCTGCAGCCGTGGCATCTAGCGCAGCAGCGGCTGCGGCGGCGGCAGCAGCAGGTGGAGTAGGGGCAAGAGGGAGAGAAGCGCAGTCGAATGGAGGCACTGGGCTGCCGTCGCCGCTGGTTCAGCCTGCTCCCCCTCCTGCTAACACTCCCCTGCAGGAGGTTTCTCTGCCTGGCACGGGACAGGCAGAGCACTCCCATTCGCACCAGCATGGGCAGAAGAAGCAGAATCCTCGGTTGCAGCAGCAGCATGAGAAGCAGCTGGTGGTGGGAGGGGCACTGCCAGAGAGGAGTGGTGGTGTGGGCAAGGTCAGGAAGACGTCAGGGCCCAAGGGTGTGAAGGCCGTGCACATTGTATGTATGGCATAGGCCGTTGCTGTGTTTGCCATTCTCTTTCACAGCATCACTTGCATTGACTTGTCGTTGGACTCAAATAGCTGCTACATTACCTTCCCGGACTCTCACCAGGGGCATTAGAGAGTGAAGGCCGTGCACATTGTGTGTGTGACATATGCTCCTCTTCCGCTTGCACAGTGTTGCCCTGTCTCGCTTTCGTACTGCTTGTCCATTCACTTGCTGTTGTTGAGCTTTTCTGGATGTTGCAATTTCCTTGTTGTGGTTCATCGATGCTGGCCACACAATTGAGATAACTATGCATGCTGTGTATACTATTTCCTTGCTTACGCCTTGCTCCTTATTTCACCATTGCTGTCTTTGCTTTCCTCTTTTTTGGACCCAGTCTAGTGTCAACTAGATTGGCTGCAGAGTTGCTTACCTCTCACCTGCTCTTCACACAGAAGCAAATCTGATGTTTCCTTGTTTGTGCGCTCCCAACTCTCCCACCAGTCCACGCGGATGATGGACGAGTTGATGCATGTGTCCCAGCTTTCCCACTCATTTGTCCTTCTTCCTAATACTAAGCCCATACATCTTCTTGCTTCCCCATGTGCGCACTGTCAAACCACCCACACCCACCCACCAGTCCACGCGGATGATGGATGAGTTCATGCGTGTGGTGATAGACAACACCTCCCTCAACCTGGAGACGTGTGCCGTGCTTGGCCCCCTGTTGAATCCCATACATGCCTCTATAACTCCTTGTTCCCCCCTGTGGACACTTACAATCCACGTGCCCTTTCACCAGTCCACACGAATGATGGACGAGTTCATGCGCGTGGTCATAGACAACACCTCCCGCAACCTAGAGACTTGTGCTGTGCTCGCAGGCTCTTTGGTGAGTTCCCAATGTAGAAATTTTCAAAACATTGCACATTCCGACACTGCACATTTGGTGATTCTGCATGTCTATCATCCCTTGTCTTCCCGGTGGTGTTGGATAACACCTCTTGCAACCTCCAAACATGTTCCATGCTCGCTGGCTCTCTGGCATGCTCCTACGCTGCCACTTCCCACATTTCTGCTTCTTCGTTCCCTCTCTTCCCATATATCTCCTTTCCCAAGGATAGCATCAGCTGCTTTTTGTTTGTATTCTTCCGTCTGCTCCTGCGTCTTCTGGTTTGTCTTCCTGCATCCTCTGTGGTTGCAATGCGCAGAAGAAGGGGATGTTCTTTGTCACAGCGCTTATCTTGCCTAAACAGCATTCTACTTCTGATTCGGTATGTCCCTTTCCCCCTCTTCCCTCTCCCCTTCCCCCCCCTCGCGCTCCCCTTGTCTTATTGGCTGATTATTGTAGCCCTTGGTGGTTCATCTTTGCCATCTATCGGTCATGCGACAAGCTGTTGTATTCATCTAAGTTCGCCACACCTCCACATTCCTGCCCCGCGTTCGTTCCTGCCTGAATTTTAGCCTCTACCATCCCATGCCATCTCATCCTTCCATTCCATCCCACGCCACGTCATGCCACAACGCAATACCATGCCATGCCATGTCACACGCACAGTGTTCCACGACCAATGAGGAGGAGATATTTGAAGCACAAGACAAGCTGGGCCTGTTCCAACTTGGCTGGATACACGTACTGCCACTTCTTCCCTTCCTCTCTTCCTCCTCCGCCCCCTTCCCCCTTCCGTCCCTCCTTCCTTCATTAAATTGGCTCTCGCCTTTCATTCCTCTATCAGCATTTGTAGTATCCACTCCATTGGCACTCACCTTTCACTGTATGCTTTCTCTTCCATTTGTATGCTTTCTTTTCCATTTGTAGCATTTCACCTTTCCATTGTTCTCTTCTTCTCAGCCAGTTTTCTGTGCATAGCTTAGCTCCTGTGTTCTCTGTCCTCTGCCCTCAAATTTCCTGTGAGCTTGGTTCTGTTCCTCATTATCCGTCTCCTTTTTTTATGGCATGCCAATTCCTTCTCGCACCCGCTCCCATCGTCAGACCCACCCAACCCAGTCGTGCTTCATGTCTTCTATAGACGTGCACACACACTATTCCTACCAGGTTCGTTCTCTTGTAAATTGGAGTTAATCTGTAAATCTTGTGAATTTACTATCTCCATATGAGCTGATTTCTTCGCCATTCTTCCTTTTCCACCTTGTTTGTAAATATCTTCTCCTACTCTTCCTCCACCCCTCACCTTCCCCTCATCTGCTATCTAAACACCATTCCACATCTCTCTAATCATCTCACCCCACCCCATGTCGTTCCTCCATTTTTATACCCTGTCTTGGCAAAGACGTTCCACAGCTCTACACCCTGCCTGGCTGTCTGTGTTCAACTCCTTGTGCTGCATTGTTCATCCATCCCTTCGACCCCAGGTGATGCTGCCAGAGGCCATTGCCATTGTCATGGCTCCCTTGGACCCTAAACGGTACATGCTTTCTTCCTTCCGCGTGCCTGCTGCCTGCTGTCTGCTGCCTGTTTCTGCCTCTTCTCCTTGCTCTTTTCCCATCCACCACCCACTTCCTTTTGCCTGAGTTCCTGTCATTTGGTTGACTCCGTTTCCCTGACCATCCTCCTTCCCAAGCTCCATTTACCCTGTACCTTGGATCGCAATCCTCCTTGTTTGTTCCATCCCTGCTGGCATTTTCGCTCTTGCTTTAAGGCTACCGATCCTGCTGGCTACTAGCATAAACCAAAAGCGTTTTTTCCCCGTCTAAACAAACCGACTATTTCTCACCTTCCCTTCCCTTCAATTCTCCTCCTGCCTTCAATGCTCCTTTGTACAGCAAGTTTGGCATATTCCGTCTCACAGACCCAGGAGGGATGAAGGTGATTCAGAAATGCCCTCTGCGTGGATTTCACTCCCATGAGCCTACTAAGGATGGAAGCCCCATCTACACGCACAGCTCGCATGTGTTTTTCAACCCCAAGATCAAGTTTGATGTGGTCGATCTTCGCTGATAACTTCCTGCTACGCATGCAGCTTACTGTATTGTTGAGGATACTGTAGTTGTTGCGCATCTTTAGCATGTTACGGTACTAAACGATCAGTATACCTGTATACGTTTATTATGTTCAGCAAGTCGTTGGACAGTTCGCCTACCTGAACAATCTGTCACTTTGATCTTCTTTGATTCACTTGTATTCAACATTCCCCACCATTTTGGCAAGCCTCCTGTGTTTCATCCAGCCATCCCCAGTCCAGCCACACGTTTGTGGAATCGCTCTCACCCAATTGTGCTAACACTGCCAGTACCAGCTGAGGGTCTCCTTTTGCTGACAGTCATATTTGTCTCCATATTGATTTGTGCTCGTATGATATTTTAGTTTAAATATAGCAGGTACAGTTTTATATTTTCTCACTTGATCTCTTATCTTTCACTGGTAGAATCAGAGCAGCACAGTGAAGAAACCCCGTGGCATGATACGCACTTGCAAAAGTTGAAATGATGGGACAAAATAATGAACAATTCTTTAAGGCAGTAGAAGGGAGCAGCAGCACACATGGGATGGGATCATGGGATGGGTTGATTGACTATTGAAGAGCACAACCAGAAGAGGACTCCCCATGTCTCACAACCTGGCCATACGCAGCTATTTCCACTGCATCGAAATCTCGCTCTGAAAAGAGGAGTCGAGTGGGGAAGTGGGGTCGGGGGAGGAAGAGAGGGAGGAACAAAGGCTAACATGAGACATCCTGAAGCGGTAATAACACAGAAGATTCATGGAGCCTTCAAAGTGGGTGCATTGTTGAAACATGCACAAACGTTTCCAAGCAAAGCAAATTAGTAGCGAAGCGCACTTTGCATGCAACAAGAAAAATAAGGGAATTTCTGGAAAAAACATGCTGCGAGAAAAAAAAAAAAAATCCACCATCGGAGTATCTGCGCCTAACCGGTACTTACTGGAGAGGCTGCAGTAGGTGCTGCGCTGCATGAGCTCCGTGCGAGTCATGTCCGTGCGTGCCCCCTTGGCTCGATTCACTGCCGTCTGGTGGTGTGCGGTGCACATGGGTGGGGAGGTGTGAGCTGTTATGGGCTGGCAACAATCCAGTCTAGTTATGCACAGAATATGAGTCGAAGGATGGAACAAGCTTGCAAACAGGTGGATTCGGGAAGAGAGGGGCACGGATATTGGTGGGCATGCGTTTCTGCTGGTTTGATAAACATTGTGCAGTGCATGCCATCAAAATCTGAAAGCACTAAGGCAATCACTTGCCCGCAGCACACCTCACCATCTCTCAGGCACCTAGAAAATGAAACACAGGCCACATTACGTTTCCAAGAGCTTGAGGGAGCATTGACTTGCCTGCAGCACCTGACAGTTGTCCAACGTGCTCTTGCCTCCCTGAGACAAGAAACGAGGTAAGACGGCAGAAAAGGATTTAGGAAGAAGGGGGTTTAGGGTACAGGGGTTTCGGGATTAGCCAGGGATAGGAACGGGAAGGGAGACAGAATGGAAGACTAATGAGGGAACAAACAGACGCGGGGAAGCGGATGTGGTTGGAGGGAAGGCTTTGCCGTTCCGCCACTCGCCATCTCCGCCTCTCCACCAGCCCCCGAGTCCACCTCCAAACACCTTAGAGTGAGGAACCACGTCATCATAGTCGCAGCAGGGACACCACTAACACGCCACCAGCGGCAGAGCCGACTCAAAAAACAGCCCGCCCCCCACACACACTTGAGAGTTTCGAGACACCTCAACACACACCTTAGAATACGGAACAACGTGGTCGTAGTCGTAGCAGAGACACCCCTTACACGCCACCAGCTGCCAAGGCGATCCAAAAAGCTGCCCCACCCCACCACAACCACCATGGAAAAAAGGCCTCAACCCCACGCACCTTAGAGTACGGAACGACATGGTCATAGTCGTAGCAGAGGCACCCCTTACACGCCACCAGCTGCCGAAACACCACGTTCCCCGCCGCGTCTCTGCGCCATCTGTCCGGATCCCGCCCGGGGACCGTCTCCGCCTTGTTCCAGCACGCCACCTTCACCGCGTGCGGAAACGCGCGCGGGTTTCCCCCGCCCCCCGCGCCGGAGTACCCGCCGTTCCGCGCCCCCCGCTGTTGTTGCTGCTGCTGCGCGGGAGGGCGGGTGGAGACCGCGGGAGAGGCGACTCCGCCCGTCCCCGCCGGCCCCGCCACGACATCGTCCTCCCATTCGTCGTCGTACTCAGGCGGCTCGGCGCGCCGCCGCGCGGGGCTGCGATTGGGCGAGCGCAGGTCCTTCATTACCTGGCGGAGCGCGCGGCCTGCGCCAGGCGGCATGACGACTGACTAGCGGGGGGGGGGGGGAGGGGATGGCGGACTAGCGGGGGAAAATGGCGGAGTGCGCGTGGAATGGCGGAAGAAATGGCGCGCAAATGCGGTTGCGACAGGGCGGGGTCGAACGAAAGGCGAACCGAGAAACGGAAAACGGGGAGGCGTGAAGGTCGCAGCGCGGGTGGCTCAACAATTGTAACGGAACCGACAATGGCGCGTTCACATCACATGGCTTCGGTATTGAGGTGTGGAGCGTTGCATTATCCAAACAGGTGACGCGGCAGATGGGGTGTTAGGGCATAACGAGGATGTCTATACTCGCTATGAACATCTTCGGCACGAGAGAGCTAGTTATTAGTCTCTTAACACGATTCTTCAGTCTTTTTGTGAGGACTTCATTAACCCATAATGAACGGCATGGGACGGCACATGGGACTCACTAAAACAGATCTCCCCACAAATCCTGAGCTAGTCTTCCGTATACCATACACGGTAGTTCAAATTGCATTTCCATCCAGGATGTGCAGCTAGTATTACTGTCGGTACCACTGCTGCTTGTCCTCCACTCCACCTGTGGCTGCCACAGCTAGGCGAGTCACAGAGCCTTCGCAAGAGCAGCGCGGCACGCGCTCTCCATGGCATCACTGGTGGAGTGTGGCTGCGTGTCATTCAGTCGGCTGGTGCCACTGCTGCTTGTGCTACAGCCGTTGCTGCAACACTACAGCTACGCCAGTCACAGAGCTTTCGCAAGAGCAGCGCGGCGAGCACTCTCCATGGCCTCACTGGTGGAGTGTGGCTGCGTGTCGTTCAACCGGCTGGTGCCGTCAAAGCGGCGGTACAGCGACCGGAACACCTCGTCGTTGCCTATCGACCTCAGCTTAGCGTAGTCAATCTGTGAGGATGGGGAAAAGGGGTTTTGGGGGTTTTTTGGGAAGAGGGAGGCGGGGAGGAAAAGGGTTCGTGAGTTGACTTCAAGCAGTCGAAGCGGTGGTACAGCGACTGGAACACCTTGTCATCGCGAATCGACCTCTACTTGGCGTAGTCAATGTGTGAAGTGAAGGAGGGGCAGGGAGGTCGGATGCATGCAGGGGGGTCGGGAGAGGCGGGGAGAGAAAAGGGCTTGGGCTGAACGGGATGATGAAGCATTCTGAAGGGCTCAAAAGAACACAGGGCTCACCTTGGGCTGAGAGGGAGGTGAGAGGTGCAGCTTCACCCTGTGCGCATGTACAAGGTGGATGGTTCGACCCGACACCTGTGTGGGGCACGCACATGCACACACAGGCACGCACAGGCACATTCACAGAGGCACACACAAGCATGGGCGCATACGTGGGAATGGAGGTGTTTCAAGTCAGGGGCGTGAACAGACAGATCCACACACCAAACGGCAATCACAGTAGCCACGAGGCAGGGAGACAGGGAGACAGGGAGGCAATCAGGCACGTGGAGGAAGAGCAGGAGAGAAGGGAGAAGAGTTGCAATCAGAGCCAGGGGAGAGTGACAGGCAGTCTGGGACGTCTTACAGCACATCAACAGGGGGAGGAGGGGGCATGGGAGTGAAGGTTATAAGGGGAAAAACCAGGACAGGACACGGCAGGACAGGGCTGGACAAGCAATCACCTCCGAGAGCATGGTGAGAACTCCCTCTGGCCTCAGGGTACCGCCGTCTGTGGTGTGCTGGCCCACATACGACACCACCACACGGCTGCTGCTGCTGCCAGCAGCGAAGGCAGCCGCGTCATTGCAGCTGAGGCGCATGGAGGATGGCAGGGCGCTGCCTTGGGGGAGAGCCCGCAGCTCGTGCAACCGTGCCCGTAGATCAGTCTCCTGAGATGTGTGTGTAAGGAGACAGATTCAAGAAATTAGCAGGGCGTGAAGGAGGGCGCTGCCTTGGGGGAGAGCTCGCAGCTCGTGCAACCGTGCACGTAGATCGGTCTCCTGAGATGTGTAAGGAGACAAAAGGGGGACCTTTGAGAGAATTAAGGAACTAGAAGAGCCCGCAGAAGGGCGCTGCCTTGGGGGAGAGCTCGCAGCCCGTGCAGCCGTGCACGTAGATCGGGCTCCTGGGATTGAGAGACGAACGGAAGGAGGAGAGGAGGGGATGGAGGTTGACAGGAAGAAGGGGGAGAATAAGGGATGGGAGAGAGTAAAGGGGGGTCTCCATGTGGTATTAGTCGATTCGAGTCGACTCGAAAATTGTGCTACTAGTCCATGCCATTTTTGAGACGTCTCAAAGGTCCTAAACCATGCCAAAGGCAGAGCAGCAGCTGCTCAACGAGAACACGAGTCTAGTTTTGAGGCGCCTCAAAGCAGGGCAGCAGCTGTTCAACTACAACACGAGGGCACACAGCTCGAGCAAGAGGTGACTTGCCTTGGGCTTTGCGCCTTGCTTCTTCTGCAGAGTGACAGTGAAGGATGGGAGGGCCAACACACTCTTTACCCACACCTCCACTTGCTCCTGTAGGCTCCTGCCTGCTACCACTGCTCCCTCTGCTCCGTCTGCTCCCTGTGCTGCTGTTGCATCTGGTGCGCTGCTGGTCTCTCCGCCATCCTCCACTCGGAGCAGAAGCAAGTACTCGATTGCATGGAGTTGCTGGGGAGCAGGGGAGAGGTGGAAATGCGGGAGAAGAGGAGTGAGATGGAGAACGTGGGTGCAGAAGCAGAAGCAAGTACTCGATTGCATGGAGTTGCTAGGAGGGAGGGGGGAGATGGCGATGCAGGAGGCAAGGAGGGAAAGAGAGGGGGATGAACGGCAACAGGGCAGGAGGAGAGAGAGGGTGAGCAGGAAAAAGAGTACGGCCTGTGATGAGAACTTAAAAATGCTACCAACCTTACTGCCATATTGACGGAACATGTTTGACTGCCGCCTGACGATGTTCTACGCATTTCATGCCGCAACTGCTCAGAGATTCTCGAGAGCCCTTGATTCAATATATTGCACTCACAGCAGCCAAACCGCAAGTGATCAGACGATTGTTACTACTACTCACCTTTGTGAGGGTGTCTGCGTTCTTCTTGTCTGCCCGGAAGATCGGTTCCTCCCAGGCGTCCAGCACGGGCAGCTCGTCGGGCAGCTGGAAGATGTGACAAGGCGGGATGAAGCAGAGCGCAGGAGAGACAAACAAGGTGTAAATTTGAGAGGACATTTTTTGAGACGTCCCAAACTGAAGAGAAGGCAGACTGGCAGGAGAATATTGAGTTGAGTTGAGTCAACAACCAGCAGCATTAAAGGCCGAGATGGGTTTGAGCTGGGGACAAGGAAGGCAGTAGTGCCAGTTTAACGTCAGGGCTTACGGGCTTCCAGGGAGAATACAAGGGAAGCGAATGGATGGGGGGAGAAAGAGAGTGGGAGAATAACTGGCATGGCATGGTGCGGAAGGGGCAAACTATGACAACAATGGGTGCAGTGCGCATGACATAACACAGCACGGCATGGCGTGGGATGGCACGACATGGCATGGTACAGCATGGAATGTTACAGTAAGGCATGGCATGGCATGGCATGGCATGGCATGGCATGGCATGGCATGGCATGGCATGGCGTGGCATGGCGTGGTAGGTGACACACCTGTTCCTGCAGCTTCCTCCGGACATCGGGCACTGAGAGCATCTGTGTGAACTCTATATCCACCAGCTGTGATGGGGAGGGTGACGCCATGCCATGGCAGGGGTGAATGGGAGGGACACGTGAGAGGGGAGGGCACAGGATGGGTGCAATAGACCTGCTCCTGTTCCTGCAGCTTCCTCCTGACATCGGGCACTGAGAGCATCTGTGTGAACTCTATATCCACCAGCTGTGGCAGGTGATGCCATGCCATGGCAGGGGTGCATGAGAGAGGAGCATGGGAGGGATGCGTGGTAGGGGTGAATGGGAGGGGAGTGTGGTAGGGGTGAATGGGAGGGGAGTGTGGTAGGGGCGAATGGGAGGGGAGTGTGGTAGGGGTGAATGGGAGGGGCACTTGGCAGGGAAGTATGCCGGAGGAGAGGTACAAGGACGTCGGTAATACGCCCACACAGTACGAGGCGAGATGAGAGATGTTTATTGACTGAAACGAAGTTGAACGAAGGAGAAAACGTCGACGAGGTTGAACACAGAGTTGAAGAGGTCCCCGTTCAGAGCAAGCTAGAGGGGTTTGATTAGAACAAGCTTGTGCGTCCCTAGAGTGAGAGAGTTTGAACAGGCTCGTCGAGGAAAGGCGACAAGACAGAAGATAATCACTAGCGCACATGCTCTTTAGCATGGATGAGTACACATGCATGCAACGAGGTTAGTGGCTAAAATGGGAGGGGAGGACATGCACACCTCACAGGAGCTGCTGTGGCCCAGAGGCAGCAGCACAGTCGACTAAAGAATCATCAAGTTAGTGGCTAAAGGGGGAGGAGAGAGGAGCTGCGCACCTCGCAGGAGCTGCTGTGGCCCAGAGGCAGCAGCACAGTCGACTAAAGAATCATCAAGTTAGTGGCTAAAGGGGGAGGAGAGAGGAGCTGCGCACCTCGCAGGAGCTGCTGTGGCCCAGAGGCAGCAGCACAGTCGACTAAAGAATCATCAAGTTAGTGGCTAAAAGGGGAGGAGAGAGGAGCTGCGCACCTCGCAGGAGCTGCTGTGGCCCAGAGGCAGCAGCACAGTCGACTAAAGAATCATCAAGTTAGTGGCTAAAGGGGGAGGAGAGAGGAGCTGCGCACCTCGCAGGAGCTGCTGTGGCCCAGAGGCAGCAGCACAGTCGACTAAAGAATCATCAAGTTAGTGGCTAAAGGGGGAGGAGAGAGGAGCTGCGCACCTCGCAGGAGCTGCTGTGGCCCAGAGGCAGCAGCACAGTCGACTAAAGAATCATCAAGTTAGTGGCTAAAAGGGGAGGAGAGAGGAGCTGCGCACCTCGCAGGAGCTGCTGTGGCCCAGAGGCAGCAGCACAGTCGACTAAAGAATCATCAAGTTAGTGGCTAAAGGGGGAGGAGAGAGGAGCTGCGCACCTCGCAGGAGCTGCTGTGGCCCAGAGGCAGCAGCACAGTCGACTAAAGAATCATCAAGTTAGTGGCTAAAGGGGGAGGAGAGAGGAGCTGCGCACCTCGCAGGAGCTGCTGTGGCCCAGAGGCAGCAGCACAGTCGACTAAAGAATCATCAAGTTAGTGGCTAAAGGGGGAGGAGAGAGGAGCTGCGCACCTCGCAGGAGCTGCTGTGGCCCAGAGGCAGCAGCACAGTCGACTAAAGAATCATCAAGTTAGTGGCTAAAAGGGGAGGAGAGAGGAGCTGCGCACCTCGCAGGAGCTGCTGTGGCCCAGAGGCAGCAGCACAGTCGACTAAAGAATCATCAAGTTAGTGGCTAAAGGGGGAGGAGAGAGGAGCTGCGCACCTCGCAGGAGCTGCTGTGGCCCAGAGGCAGCAGCACAGTCGACTAAAGAATCATCAAGTTAGTGGCTAAAGGGGGAGGAGAGAGGAGCTGCGCACCTCGCAGGAGCTGCTGTGGCCCAGAGGCAGCAGCACAGACGACTAAAGAATCATCAAGTTAGTGGCTAAAGGGGGAGGAGAGAGGAGCTGCACACCTCGCAGGAGCTGCTGTGGCCCAGAGGCAGCAGCACAGTCGACTAAAGAATCATCAAGTTAGTGGCTAAAAGGGGAGGAGAGAGGAGCTGCGCACCTCGCAGGAGCTGCTGTGGCCCAGAGGCAGCAGCACAGTCGACTAAAGAATCATCAAGTTAGTGGCTAAAGGGGGAGGAGAGAGGAGCTGCGCACCTCGCAGGAGCTGCTGTGGCCCAGAGGCAGCGGCGCAGCACAGGAGATGCGAGGCAGGGAGTGAAAGCTGGGCAGGGCGAGGTAAGCATGGGCAGGTGTAGGGAGAAAGGGAGGAGAAGAGGGGAAATGGAGTGTATGTACGGTGCTGGTTAGGTGGGTGTGTTTGTTGGATCAATGAGATTATTAGACATGAAGCTTGAGCATTACCATTGCGGCAACACAAATGGAAATAGTCAAAGTGGGAAATGGCAGCACTAGGAATGGATGCACCGGAATGCTGTGAGATGGGATGGGATGACATGGCATGGCAAGAACAACCAATCACCCAGCAGCACCAGCAGCAAGAAGCCGTACCACATTCCACAGCGAAAAGCAAAAGCAACAGTAATAGCAACAACAACGGCAACAGAAACGCACCCGTTGTCGAAGCAGACAGGGAGGTCGGCACGGCGAAGAGCCCTGTCGAGGAGAGAGACGGTGTCGAGATGGCCCAGCAGGGTCATGGCCCCCAGCTTGGCAAAGCGCACCCGCAGACGCTGCGAGGATGGGGAGGGAGAGCAGGGGGAGAGAGTGGTGGGTGAGCTTGTGAGCTTGTGAGCTTGTGTCTTGGCAACCAGCTTCGCATAGCGCACCCGCAGAAGCTACTAGGCGGACGAGCAAGAGCTTTAATGAGTCAACTCGAAGGAGGTGATTTGGTCAGTTCAAGCGTCAATGGATGGAAGGCATGGAGTTACGAAAGAGGGTGGAAAACGTGAGGAGGTACCTGCACTCTCTTCCGGTTGGGCTTGAAGTCCCCATCGTACTCTGGGACAGGGGGAATGGCCGCCACCACTGGTGGTGGAGGAGAGGGGTTGATGGGGAGAAGGGGTTGATGGGGAGAGGGGTTGATGGGGAGAGGGGTCAATGGGGAGAGGGGTTGATGGGGAGAGGGGCAGGAAGCAGTCAGGAAAAGGAAATGGCGAGTAATAGGGTGAAAGGCTGAGAAGGAGATAAGCAGAAAAAGGGCAGATAAGCCTATCAGTGGGGCAAGGAGAAGGGCAGATAAGCCTATCAGTGGGGCAAGGAGAAGGGCAGATGAAGCAGAGGTCCTGAGGGTTGGCAGAGGGATTGTAAACAATCAAGACAGGAATAATCCGGGCAATCTACTTACAGATATTTACTAAGGAAGGAGTAACTTGCCCGATGCACTCCCCCCTCCCTCCGGACCCCCCTCACCTCCTCTCCTCCCCCTTCGCCGGAACTGACTGACTCACCATTCTCCCCAAAGTCTTCCTCGCACACACCACACTTGGAACACACGCCGCTGCTCCGGGAAATGGTACCGGCACGGAAGGCAAAGGGGGCAGAAGAAAAAGGAGAGGAACGATGGGGGAAGGTGGGGGCGGGGGGGAGAGGTACTAGGCAAGTGGGGTTGGGGTATAAGGGGATACAGAAGGTCAGGGGCTGAGAAGATGGTGGAGTTGAAGTGGGAAAGGTGTGCTGCTGCTGAGTAGGAAGGACGGTGAGGGGATTGGGGAAGGGAGTGGGGAGGGGAGTGAGAGGACTAGGGAGATCCTTTGAGCAGCATACTTACTTTCTTGTCCTGACTTTGTCCTACATGTGCTTGCATGTCCTCGCATGAAATGACATGACATGACATCGAACTCAGTTTCAACTCTCATTCTCATTCTCATTCCCATTCCAATTCCTGCCACTGGCATCCTATTTTACATGGTCCAGCGCAAACCCATCCCCACACACACACCCCATCCCCACGGCCACCTGTGAGAGCAGTTGGGCACAGTGGTAGACTGCACTGCACGCCCATCCCCAACCCCCGCACACCTGTGTGAGCAGTCGGGAACAGTTGTGGCCTCCAGCGCCCTCTGCAGGTCCGCCTTGAGCCACCAGCGCTCTATGCCCGTCTGTGACGCACAAGGGGACGCAGAGGACAGGACGGGGGAGAGGGTTGAGAGGGGGACGCGGAGAGGGGGGAGGGAGGACGCAGGGGGGAGGCAGGGGGGGAAACGGGAAAGGCAGGAGGGTGCATAGGTGAAACAGGGGGAGGGGGACCTAAGAAGCGCTTTTAAGCGATATTTGAGGTACCTAAAAGTTGGCAGCGCAAGTGACCCGCCAAACACACTCACATTGATGATGTCCCATGGCAGGGGGGCGTCCAGCCTGGCATCGGCAAGAGGCGACTTTTGAGTCGACTCAAAAGTCAACTAAAATGGTAAGGCATGGCATCGCATGGCATGGCATGGCATGGCATGGCATGACATGGCAGCAAGTGACCTTGACCGTCCGTCTCACATTGATGATGTCCCATGGCAGGGGGGCGTCCAGCCTGGCATCGGCAAGAGGGCCCACGTCGAGACGAGACTTGCCACCCTGGCCTCGGAAACGGTTGTCGCCGATCTTCTCCATGACGTCCCACTCGCCATCCACCACCTGCCATGTCGAATGGCACACACACGGACGAATGGTTTTGAGACGTCTCAAAACACTTCTTTTTTCACGTGGCTCCACCACCTGCCATGTCGAATGGCACACACGGATGAATGGCAGGGAGGGAGGACACATGGGCATGGCAGCACAATGCAATAGGGATGTGGCACTACACACATATTCACAATCACGACTCTCCCTCTCCCCCTCTCCCCCGCGCCCTTTCTCCCCCTCTCAGGCTCACCCGTCTGTATTTCCACTCCAGCCCACATTCGTCAATAGCCTGCGACCAGCAACTGTAGCAGCGGTCCAGGTTCACCCACCTGTAGCGGGTTGAGAGGGAAATGACGGGAGGTGGGAACAGGGGGATGATGGGGCAAATGAGTTGTGCCTGTGGTCCCTCACTCCTGCCCGCACTCGTGCGTGGGATGCATCGAGTGGCTGCAGCGGCTGTAGCAACCGGCAGTCCACTCCACCAGTCAGCACATGCCATGCAATGCAACACCGCCAACAAATCACCATGCGTGCCGTGCACATGCACCACCACCACCATACGTTGGTTGGTCCCTCCTGTGCTAAGGCACCACCATCAAACACACACGCCCCGCCCCGCCCCGCCCTGCCATGCCCCACTCCGCCCTACCAGGCATCGTTGCTGGCCCCAAGCTCCCACGCGCGCCGTATCACCCGCCCTATGCTGCGGTCGCCCCGCCCTATGAAGTCCTCCATTGCTGATAGCTGCCAGGCACCGGTAGGATGGGAGGTGAGGGGAAGAGGAGAGGAGGGGAGGGGAGGGGAGGGGAGGGGAGGGGAGGGGAGGGGAGGGGAGGGGAGGGGAGGGGAGGGTATGGCATGGTTCCCCACCCGCCACTATGTTAGTGCGGATTCATGCGTGACAGAGTCGTCCACGTGTCATGTCATTCAGTCCCACCCACACATCCCCGAGATTCCACTAGACCTCTGGCATGCACACACACACACACAGCACACAGCACAGCACCACATCGAACAGCACAGTACCGCACAGCACACCCAAAACGGCGAAAGGCTCAGCTGGACCCACCCGTACGTCCCCAAAGTTCCACTTGACCCCGGGCATGCGCACAAACGCGTCTCTGAGCAAGCGCTGCTTGCGCGTGAACTCTGCTGTTGACACCGTGTGCCTGCAGGAGGAAAGAGGGGGGTGGGGAAGAGGAGGGGGAGTGGGGAGGGGGGGGGGGGGGGGGTCTGAGTGGACTCAAAACATGTCTCTGAGAAAGCGCTGCTTGCGCGTGAACTCTGCTGTTGACACCGTGTGCCTGCAAGGGGGAGAAAGGGAGGGAGGAGGGGGAGCGGGGGGGAGGGAGTAGGGGAGCAGAGAAGGGTACAGGGGCATTTGGAGACGGCGTAAAAAACGGGAGTATGTGACGGGAGGGTGTGTGGGGAGTATTTTCTGGGTGAGGAACAGAAGCAGGGTGTGGTGGCGAGGGGAGTGGATGGAGGGAGGCAGACTGGGAGGAGGCAGACTGGCAGACTAGGAGGCGGAGGTGCGTGTGGGAGACAGAAGTAACACGCGGCTTCCTGGCTGTGCTTGCTTGAGTGCCGTGCCCTTCATTGAAGTTCTATTTTGGCGACGTATGCTGTTTGAACAGGTATGTCTGGATGCATGCATGCATGCACGGTGCAGCGCTGCAGCTCTTGTGTCATGTGCAACGCAGTAACACTGGAAAAGGAGTGCAACTACCTTTTGAAACCTCTCAAGAAGCAGCTCGTGTGGCAAGGCATGTGGCATGTGGCAAGGCATGCGGCATGTGGCAAGGCATGCGGCATGTGGCAAGACATGGGGTAAGCCATGTGGCAAGGCATGTGGCATATGACATATGGCATGTGGCATACCACTGGAAGGGCGTGTGTGGCTTGGGAGTGAAGTTGGAGATGGTCAGACGCACGCCCAAGAAGTTGCGGCCGCGCCGACAGTTCTGCTGCAGCCACTGCAAGAAGGGCAAAGGGCGAGAGGCGAGAGGTGAGAGTGAGAGGGGAAAAGCAAGAGAGAAAAAAGGGTGCGCAAGATGAAGGAGAAACCGGAAGGGGCAACACGAAAGGAAGCAAGATAACGGCTAAATAGGAAGAGGACGATGGAAGGAGACGGGGGAGAAATGCGTTACTTCCAGGCAGCAGCACCATTGCTTTCTATTCCCGTCACACCAACCATGTTGCAATCATGCTCTCTTACACATGCTCCGTCCTGCATGAGAGATCACACTTGCACTCCCTCATACGTGTGGATGTGGCAACAGGTCTTTGAAGCATGCGGGCGTGGCTGAGCGGGTGTTGGCCGTTACCAACACCAATGAACGCCAAGCCTGACAAAAAATTGTTCCTCTAATATTGCTTCTTCTGTCATGGCAACCTTCCAGAACATCGGCGATGCTAATGCACTAGAGGGATTTCAAGTTGTTTATGAGTCTAACGAGAAAACACATGGACAGCGTACACAATGACAGAAAGTATTGCTGGAACATACAGATGGCATTGAAGGCTTGTTCTTTACATATCATGTTTTTTTTTTTTCATAGGGTTGATGGTGCTCGTTCCGGCACCACTGCTGCTGATGCTTCTATTTTCAAAGTCCCTGGTGCCGGATATGTTTTTGACACCGCTACTGGTGTTGGTGCTGGTACCAATGCTCATCCTCGTGTGGCCGTTAAAGCTGTCACTCGTGCTGTTGCTTCTAACGCTGCTGACGCGAACGTACGACATACACACAACAAATGCATATCGTACCTCCGTGTCAGCAGCGTTAGAAGCAATAGCACGAGTGACAGCTTTAACGGCCACACGAGGATGAGCATTGGTACCAGCTCTAGCACTGATAGTGGTGTCAAAAACATGTTCAGCACGAGGAACTTCAGAAATAAACATGAGCATGATTGCAATAGACATGAGCAACGGGCGAACACCAAACATGTTCGCCCGAACCTCCACGAACATGTCTTGTGGACGAACCAAACATGTTTCGTTCGCCCGAACTTTTTTTTGCCACCTTAGGTGTTCGTAATAGGGGGGTCGAACACTGCATTTCGGGGCGAAGCCGAACATGTTTGAGGTTCGAGAGTATGTTTTCAGTACACCAGCTCCTCCCCCGTCGCCTCCCTCCCCCCCTTTCCGAACATCAAACATGCTCGGCCGAACATTTTTTGCCAAAAAACATGTTCGGTTCGGTTCAGTCATGAACATGTTCGGACGAACCGAACAGGCGTTTGGACTTTGCTCATGTTTGGATTGCAACATGGTTGGTGCAGAGGGAATAAAAAGACGTTCATTCATTCCCCCCTCAAGATTTTTTTTTACGAAGCAGCAGCACAAGCATTCCTTCACCTATGGGTGCAACAAGCCCAATGTCGTAGTGCTTGAAGTTCTTTGATGCAAGCGCCTTGAAAAGCAAGACGACCTCGTCTTTTGAGGAGCCTCAGTAATCCTTTAGAGTCACCTTGATGGTTTTGGCGATGCCCAGGACATCCTCGTCCGTCTCTCCCGGCAGGCCAATCATGAAGTAGAGCTTCACCTGCCGCCATCCCTTGTCCCATGCCGCCTTCACTCCCCGCAACAGCTCCTCGTCCGTCAAGCCCTGGCGTGGACGTTGGGGTGGGGAAGGCGATGGGATGAACAAGGCAAAGAAAGAGTAAGGTGAGGTTGTGAGAATATGAGAAGTCAGTTCTAGTCAAGAGGCACTTTAGCTGACTCGTGTGGAGCTGGACGCTTTGCAAGTGCTGAGAACGGGAGGATGCTTTGTAGCCTTAATTCTCCGCAGCAGCTCCTAGTCTGTCCAAGCGCTGATTCGCTTTGAAACAGTAGTGCTTTGAGGCAAGTGGTGAATCAGCCGACTGTACTGTGGACTCACACAAGTGTGAGAGAGAGGCACTGCATGGCATGGCATGGCATGGCAAGGCATGCAGGCATAATGGCATGGGATGGCATGGTATGGCATGACATGGTGAAGGCATGACAAGGCGTGGGTGGTGGTGGTGCAGTGGCGAGTCGCACCTTATTAATGACATCCCTCATCCTCTGTGTGCCTGCTTCAGGTGCAAAGGTGATCGAACCCTGCAAGACAAACACGCAGACAGGGAAGAAAGAAGGCAAGCAGGCAGAGAGCAGGCCAGAAGATCAAGGGACAGACGGACAGACAGGTAGCGGGGCAGGGAGGAAGGAAGGCAGGCAGAGAGGCAGGTCGGAGAACCTGCATTTACATGACAAAACGGAGAGGTCAGAAGAAAAGAAATCACTATGCTCTCCATGATCTATCAGCAACATAGGCCACTGTGTGAAGACCTGCCTGCTGTGTTGTTTGCAGGCAGCTGTTGCATTGCATGTCTTTGCACGGCTCTCCAGAAGCTAGCTTTATCAACAAAATGATTCATCTCACATCCTTCACCTCACATCACTTACTATAACAGCGAGATTCTTTCATGGGGCAAACTGTCCGAACCAGTCTCTTGCAATGCATCACTTACTATACCAGCGGGAGCAGGTGGGTGGGTGCGCAGGTGGTAAGCGGGCGTGTTAGCGCGTGAGTGAGCGAGCCTGCAGAGGAGTGCATACAGCACCTTGCATGTTCCGCCAATGATGTTGGCGATGTCATTGTTGAATCGGTCCACTCGTTGGCTGGGCAGCGGCTTTTGAGTGGGTGCATGATTGAGCGAGCGAGTGAGCGAGCAAGCGAGAGAGCGGGTGCAGCACACCTTGCGTGTGCCGCCAATAATGTTGGCGATGTCATCGTTGAATCGGTCCACTCGTTGGCTGGGCAAAGACAGCGAGATGGGCTGCTCCTTGAGCCGGTTCTTGATCTGAGACAGCGCGACGGACAGGAATAGACGGTAGAATTTCAGGGAGTATTTGCAATGGATGCGGGTCAGATGATTGGACGCTTTGTGTTTCCCTCGCTGGCTGGGCAGCGACAGCGAGATCGGCTGCTCCTTGAGCCGGTTCTTGATCTGAGGGCAGGGCGACGGACAGAGATATACGGGTGAGTTTCAGTCGATTATTCAGCACGGATGCGGGTCAGATAAGTTGCTTTGACTTTCTCTCGCTGGTTTGGCAGCGACAGCGAGAGTGACTATTCCCTGAGACGGTTCTTGATCTGAGGGCAGGGCGATGGACAGATCTAGACAGGCAGAGAGACAGACGGGTGTACAGAAAGAGTGGGAAGGAGGGGGTTGATACTATTAATTTGAGCAAGGCAGGAGAGCAGGAGGGGGGGAGGGAAAGCGAGTACCATCCCAAAGTGTGATTTACGGCACACACACCTGAATACCCACGGAGGGGAGCGCTAGGTAGTCGGAGCAGCTGAGGGAGAGCAGGGAAAACTCTGTATAACCCGTCTTCCTAGATACGAGGAGAGGGAGATGATAAGAGGGGAGAGGAGAGGAGAGGAGACAGGGCGAGAGGAAAGGAGAAGAGGACAGAGGAAGAGGACAGGAGAAGAGGGAAGTATGACATGGCGTTGTGTACCATTTGTAACGAGGTGAGAATTGAAGAGTTGGAGAATACATAGTACTGAAGAATCAAGTAGAGAAAGAGCCGGAAAAGTTAGGGCTGAGTGACAAAGGCGGGATGTGGGAGCTGCCATTACGGCACGAATGAGCAGAGGAAAGATGAGCGTTCCAGGCATGGAATAAGAGGAGCAGGACATGGGTACGGCGAGAAAGAGAGACGAGCGAGTGAGGGTGGGGGAAGGTGGAGGAAAGGTGGGGAATAACTCGTTATTTAAGGCATAAAATGGGGGGAATATTATCCTTTTCTTCTTTATCTTCTTGCACATATCACATTGCCCTTGGCCTGCTTTCCTTTCAAATGACCTCATCTCACTCTTCCACTCCATTCCATTTGGCATTTCCCGTTTCCCCCCTCTCATCCAAATCCTTATCAACCATCTCTACCCACCCCTCATCTCACCCCTCCCCTCCCCTCACCCTTCCCCTCACCCTTCCCCTCACCCTTCCCCTCACCCCTCCCCTCCCCTCACCCCTCCCCTCACCCCTCCCCTCCCCTCACCATTCCCGCACCCTTTCCCTCACCTCATGCCTGCTTCCACAGCCTCCACCACCTTGTCTGGATCCACATCACGAGCTGGCCTCGTCAGCATGCCAGCTGGACACAGAAACACCCATAAGTATGCAACACACACGCGCACACATGCGTGTACACACACGCACACGTGCGTACACGTGGGCATAGTCGGGCAGCAAGGTGTGGGGATTGGATGGGCCTCCATCATGCACACATGCAAGCGCGCGCGCGCACACACACACACACACACACACACACACACACACACACACACACACACACACACACACACACACACACACATTTCAGCTCAGCAGCTCATGCGCACGAGATAGGAAACAAACAGGCACCGCAACAAGAAGTCACTTTGATTTTTGAGGCACTTAAAAAGCAGCAGAGGACTCACCAGCTCAAGCATGCGCACGAGAGATACAAGAGAGAGATGAGCATGGCTCCGCAATGGGTTTATAGGTGTGAGGTTCGGCTCAGTCTAGTGAATGAGAATGGTAGCAGTATTCCTTTCCTGCTGCCAAACTTACGCTGGCAGAATCGACAGCCTCGGGTGCAGCCTCGGCGAATCTCCACCGTCAGACGATCGTGAACTGGTGTTTGGTGGAAGAGGGTGTATAAAAGGGCGAAAGGGGGGTTGAAAGGGAAAGAGGGAAAGTAGGAGGTGAGGGGCGGGGGGGGTTGGAAGGGGGGAAAGGGGTGGGAGCTGGTTCAGTTAGAGAGGGGCTCGGGAGTGGGAAAAGGAAGAAGGGTTGTGAAGGGGAATGACTTGTAAAACAAGCAAGAAAGTGAACGGATAGAGGGAATGTCTGGAGGGGATAGGAGAGGGAAAGGGTGAATAAGGGTGAGACAACGGAGCGACAGATGGAAGGTGCAGCTGAGAAAGTAGAGTTGTTCATCCAAGGAGGGCCTGCTTGTAGCTAAACTGCACAGGTGGAGCATGGCAATGGCAAGTTGGCGACGGCATGTGCTGGCTAGAGCAGAGCGGATTCAAGTGCGGATTGGGGAGGGAGAGGGAGAGGAGAGGAGAGGAGAGGAGAGGAGAGGAGAGGAGAGGAGAGGGAGAGGAGAGGAGAGGAGAGAGGGAGGAGAGGGGGTGGAACGACATATGCTGTGGGTGGAGGTGTCATACCTGTGGAGGTGAGTGGCACGAGGCCAATGTGGTCCAGTGGATTGGGCTGGTAGACGAAACAGGGGCATACACACATGCACATGCACACGCACACACCGCACACATCCACATGGACATGCCATGCACATGTGTTAGGGAGCATGAGCTCACAGAAACACACACACACACACACATGCATGCCAGAAAGGACTACAGGACAGGACACGAAGAATTGCAAGTTTCTTGGGATAAGAAACCATGGTTTACAATTGACACAGCTGCATGGTCACATGAACCCCTGGACACATGCACGCATGCACACGTGTGGACATAAGCACGCATGCACCCATGCACCTACGCACACATACCATGCACACATCCACCCATGCACGCATGCACATATGCACACAAGCACACATGAACACATGGAGCAAGCAAGCCTCACAGTGGCCACGCGTCGAAGCACTTTAGACGGCACTCCCTCCACCTTGGGTAGTACTGCAGCGCCCCACCTGGCTCCCCACAAAAAAGGACGAGAGGGAGAAAATGGGGGAGAAAGGTCGAGAGGGTGGGGGGAGAGGTTGGGCAAATCGGGACCGGGGGGGGGGGGGGGGGGGGGGGAGGAAGAAAGAACATGGAAAGGAAGAGGCATCATTCCAAAACGTAGACTCCAATTTTACAAAACACGCCAGCCAGCTAACAAAACAGCACAGCAAGTACATTCCCCTTCCCCATTTCCCCCTTTCCGCCTTCCCCCTTGCTTCCGCATTCTGAACCTTCCTGTCCCCTATTCCCATCCTCTCCCCCCCAATCCTTACCCGGGCACGGTCTCGTAAAGCTGGGGCACATACATGCCCTTAACCAACCGCGCCGGTATTAACAGAACAGCACGATTCCCTTCCCCAGTTCCATTCCCCCTTCAAAATCCCCCCTTCCACCTTCCCTCCATCCTTACCCGGGCACGGTCTCGTAGAGCTGCGGCACATACACGCCCTTCGCAGAGCGTGCCAGCTCCAGCAGCGTGTCATAGCGGGACAGGCGGCGCTAGTGGTCCCCTTCCCCTTCCCCCCTTCCCCCTCCCCCTTTTTCCCTTCCCCCTTTCCCCTTCCCCCATTTCCCTTCCCCTTTTCCCTGTACCTCCTTTCCCTTCCCCCTTCCACCTTCCTCCTCCTTTCCCCCCCTCCCTCTCCCCATCCTTACCCGGGCACGGTCTCGTAGAGCTGCGGCACATACACGCCCTTCACCGAGCGCGCCAGCTCCAGCAGCGTGTCGTAGCGGGACAGGCGGCGCTGTTTGCATGCGTCCAGGCACTGCGCTATCTCCACCAGACACTCCTGAAGACGGTGGTGAATCGGAGATGACGCAGGGAAGAGAATAGGGCAACGTAAAGGGAAGCGGAGGAGCAGGAACAGATGGCACTGCTTGCTTGCACGCGTCCAGACACTGCGCAATCTCCACCAGGCACTCCTGGGGGCGGTGGTGATGGAAGAGGGGAGGTGGGGGACAGTGTGGGTAAGAATACGAGAAGTGGGTGAAGGAGGAGGACAGATGGCGCTGCTTGTGCTGCTTGCACGAGTCCAGGCACTGCGCAATCTCCACCAGACACTCCTGCAGACGGTGGTGGGAACGGGCATGTGTATGAGTGACCGAGCACCGCGCGATCTCCACCAGACACTCCTGGGGAGGGGATGGTGGTGGGAAAGGGGGGAGTGGAGAAAAAAGGGGAGAGGAGAGAGGAATAGAAGGCGGCAACGTAAGGGGAAGTGAATGCGCAAGGAAAGTGGTGCTGCTTGCTTGCACACACCCAGGCAGGCACTGAGCGATCTCCCTCCAATAGAAACTTGGCATATCCGGAAAAGCTGGCAGAACGAAGCAAGGCTGTTTCGAATGAGTGAGTGGATGGGAGTCAAGGAGAGAGCGCATTAGATTGGATTGGATTGGCCAAAAGAGAGAAACAAGCAAAAGACCACTTATCAATGCAGCGTAACGCTTCAGAAAAGCATAGGATGGCGTTGATGATTACTTTTGAGGCGCCTGAAATTTTGACAATGAATACAAGCATTGAATCAATGAGCCACAGAGATAGCCTTTGAATGAATGCCTCACCGTTTGACTCACGCACCCCCAACCTCCCTTTCTTTTCAACCTTTTTCATCATTTGTGGGAATTCTCAACGAGGGACGCATGGACAGACAGACACACAGCGTGCAAACAAATGACACTGTCACACTGCAATCCCACTCACGCACCCCCCCCCCCCCCCCCATCCCACCCTCTCCTCTTGTTCTTCCATTCCACCTTGCCTCTCACCTCGCCATCACCAATAGCGAAGAAGTCAAAGAAGTCTGAAAAGGGCTCGGGGTTGGAAGTGGCTGTGGGGCCGCCTGGCGGGAATGGGAGGGAAGCGGAGGGAAGGAGGGAGAGAGGGAGTGGGGGAGCGAAGGAGGGACGGACGGTGAGCAGGAGAGCGGGGGGGGGGGGGGGGTGGGAGGGTGGAGGCGAGGTCAGGGAGGAAAGGACTGGACTCTTTCTCCCCTCCGGCCACCATCCCCAACAGCAGCAGAGCAGTGAAACGAGCCCAAGGGGACGGGTTCAAGCGGACGAGTTCCGAGGCACCCTTAAGAACTGGTGGCTTTGCAAAAGGACGGAGTCTGATCTGATCTGATACACCCTTGTGAGGCGCCTCAGGGATAACCTGCAAACGCGAGAGGCATGCTGCCAGTGGAGACATACATCCCAGGGCGCTGCAGCATCCCCCCGATGTGCAGCCAAGGGGACGAATCTGACCTTGTGCGCCCTTTCAAAAACTGGCCTTGTGAGGCGCCTCAGGGCTCACCTGCGAATGCGAGCGGCAGGCTCCCAGTGGAGACATCCCAAGGCGCTGAGGCGTCCCCCCCACCCTCCATCCCAGGACGAGCTTCGAGGGGACGAGCAGAGAGGGGACGAGCTTCGAGGGGACGAGCTGCGAGGAACCTCATGAACCTTGTGAGGCGCCTCAGGGCTCACCTGCAAATGCAAGCGGCAGGCTCCCAGTGGAGACATCCCAGGGCGCTGAGGCGTCCCCCCCATGCGCAGCTGTGTCTGCATCCATGCGCTCCTGCCATGAGATGGGTATGCCCGACTCGTGCAGCATCTGCAGAATGTTGGTCGCGCCTAGCTCGTAGCTGCAGGGGGGAAAACACAGAGGGTTGGGGTTTTAAGAGGGGTTTGAGCGTGAAATGCGAGGGTTCTCTGCCTCCATGCGTTCCCGATGTGCTCCTGCCATGAGATGGGTATGCCCGACTCGTGCAGCATCTGCAGGATGTTGGTCGCGCCTAGCTCGTAGCTGCAGCAGCAGGGGCGAAACGCACAGAGGGTAGGGGCTTTGAGAGGTTTTTGAGAATGGATTTTGAGAGCCCTCAACATCCATGCGCTCCTGCCATGAGATGGGTATGCCCGACTCGTGCAGCATCTGCAGGATGTTGGTGGCCCCTAGCTCGTATCTGCAGCAGGAGCAGAGGACAGGACAGGGGGGTGGGAAAGCCCAACACACACACACACACACACACACACAGACACACACACACACACACTCACACACACACACACACGCACACACACACACACACACGCACACACACACACACACACACACGCACACACACACACACACACGCACACACACATACATTGGAGGTTCCCAGTTTCAGGCTTGAGGGAAAAGTGGGAATGGTCAATCAATTTCGTGGAACAGCAAGGAGTAGGAACGAAGTTTAGAAACAGGA